GCGTGATATGGCAGCGTTACCGTCAGTACCTGTTATTACCACCATTGGCTTGCAACGCCTACCCATTGACTGAATGAGTCGCTGAGTTCGAACCTGTGGTATTCGTGCACATTCACCCTTCAATGCCTGGCGAAACTACGGAAGCGTTTGGGGCGGCGGTTGACGTTGTACGCGATTCATCCCATGGATGTTCAATTCGGTTTAAATCGGACGATCTTGATGGCCATGGAATGTTCTCATTCTGTAGGAAATCCGAAGTTAGACGTGCAACATTTGGCCGGCGTTGTCCTGTTGTCACTCTTGCAAGTCAAAGGGCCATATCCTTTAAGATATATAGTTGCTTTAGCTTCCATTCTGTTCACTAGCAGAAGTCGATATGACCATCTGACATTATTGTTGAACGTTTGGTGTGACATATTTCGGAATATCTATTTTCACGAAAATGTAAGCCTTGGCAGGACTTGTTGTTAATTAAACCTTTCATGAAAAACACTTACAACAACATATGTGTACACTATTTGTCCAATTCGAAAGACAGCTAGGCTGGATGTCCACTTAGGAAATGCACATATTGTGTTTTCCTTTTAGAACGCGTCAGTGCGAAATATCGAATTTGAAAGATTCACAGGCTGTTCTACCATGTTTAAGTGAGAAAGTAATCGCGAAATCGTTACTACGTAGTTATGTTGGCTAAAGTGATGCTGTTAGGTGAAATGGGGTTTAACGTCGCGTACAAGATGTTAAGTTTCGATGATTTGAGAAGGCCAAGGTTAGTTCTGTAAGTTTATGGTTTAAAATACTGGATCATTGTGATTGCACGAAAAGATAAATTAATCGCGTTATCCATCGCCGTTTGCTTGTCTTTTGCTATCTGTGGATTTTAATAAGTAATTAGGTTCTGATGAGTTTAAAGTGAGTGAGTGAGTATGGTTTTACGCCGCTTTTAGCAATATTCCAGCAATTTCAGGGCGGGGGACACCAGAAATGGGCTTCACACATTGTACCCATTTCGGGAATCGAACCAGGTCTTCGGGGTGACGAGCGAACGCTTTAACCACTTGGCTACCCGACCGCCCGATGAGTTTATAGAACTTGTCCACACGTGGAGTATATGGGTCTGTCAACTCCTGACCTATGTGCAACCATATGCATGCAGTTTATTAATGAATATATGTTTTATTTTGAAATAAAAATTCATTGGGTGATTATGTTTTCAATTATCTTTAGTTATTGCGAAAGGTCAAACGAAACTAGTGTTAGTGTCATCAAATTATCAACCAAGGGGTTGGCTGAGTTTGTTGCACGTCCCATTGAAGAATTCGAATGTTCCATCAGCCTTGTCCGACATCAAACGGCATCGTGAATTAATGGCGTCAATTGAGTGACCAGTACTCCAATCGAAACACTGGTAATTTATTGGTGACAAGAGCGGCCTCCGTATTATTTTTTATTATTACATAAAATTCATCTATACATCTACGATATAACTATCTAACTAAAGGTGACTCTGCTTGTCGTAAGAGGCGACTAACGGGATCTGGTGGTCAGGCTCGCTGACTTGGTTGATGCATGTCATCGTATCCCAATTGCGTGGATCGATGCTAATGATATCAACAAACAAACAAACAAACTATCTAACTAATATACATCCACCACAAGGCATAATAATAATAGTGACAAAACCCTTTCCATATTCATCAGAAATATCTGCTAACAGCAGAGTCGATTGTACGATTCCGACTGTGTCATCTCTGGAAGCATGTGTTTATGAAGCACTATCATACAGTTATGATACCTGTCTCCGCGAAAATGTGAGCGTGTCTTGCTTGCCCCACGGTGGCACCCGTCACAAACACATGCAATGGCAAGTCAAGTGTTCACCTGTAAAAAACATGTGAACATATGGTGCAAGTCAAATAGGGAATTGTATCGTATATCATGTTTGTCAGTGGAGAGTCAAATTTGGAAATGTCCTCCACCTGTGCATCATGAAACGTTTTGAAAGTGTCACCAGGCATTGAATGTTGTAACCTTGATCAAACAACTTTTGAGCAAGATTCGAATGACAGTATTTGAATCTTGGTAGATCTTGTCACTGATGCGTCGAACACTATCAATAATCAAACTATCTAATATCAATCAAGAAAGAGACAAAAGCATAGCTGATGATGAGGTGAGGTGAAATGGGGCTAATTAACGTCGCGTTGCACTGATTTAGCGACGTGCATGTACGTGTGTGTGTGTGGCTGCTTGTACTAGTCCGGACTGATGCCGATTTTTAGTGCTAGCTCACTGAGATACCATGCCGCAGTTTAACATGAATATTCCACTCAGACACAGTATACTGACTCCGAGCCGACCAGTCCTTGTTTAGCCCCTTAATGCCGAGCGCCAGACAGGGTAACAACAAGTACCATCTTTTAACGTCTTTTGATATGACGCGGCCGGGGATCGAACCCCGGACCTTCCGCTTTCCGGGCGGACGCTCTACCTCTAGATCACGGAGGCGGTCCATAGCTGATGATGGTCATCACAAGAAAGCCAATACGACTGTATTATTTAGTGTTGTATTCGACTGAGACATCAACAAGTTATTGATACAAAGGTAACAGGCTGCGTTTTGCATTGTTCTGTATGAGTACACTTATATTGATCCTATGAACATACAGCATGTGGGAGCTACTAATGACAAGACAGTATTTGAGATCGTAAAACGTCGGACTGTTACATCGAAACTTGATGTGCAGTAGTTTACCTCGCTATTATATGGATAAGTCGACATCACTCAAAGATCCTTCATGTGAAACATTCAATAAATCATGCAACGAAGAAGTTAGAACGGATTGGTTTGACATTTTACGATTTTAATATCGTGTAAGTTAACATCAGTTAAAATTCATTGCGTGTATTCTGTTGTCCCTTAGAGAAAATAAATCATCTATCACGCTTGAGTGTCTTGGGATGGAAAATATCCTATATTAGGAATAAACATTGTTTTTCGCGAGCTTTACTACAGCTATAGGCACAGTGTTCATTTCTAATACAGGATGTTTACTACCCCAAGACACAATCGCATTATCATCTCTTTATCCTAAAGAAGATCCTATATTCTATCATCAAAATACGAATTTTCATCTCTCACAGTGTATCAAAACATTGCCAGTTTTCCCGAAATGTGCGCATTAATATATTACGCCACAATGGCAGTGAATAGTCAGTCGGACAGTGACAACAGTAAATGAAGTTCAAACTTGTGTTTTAGACAGTGGCATAACTAGCAGATAGGCATATAGACAATTGTATGCAAATAATCACACAGCTTTGTCAATGATCGCTTTTCGCGGCAATCCATATGTCCGCCCGCTGGCGTAACTAAATAACTCTAGTCTGTGACACGTCACGTTTGTTTAGAGTCGCCTGGCTCGTCATTACGTTTCGTGACAGGATAATTTGACTGTTTTTATGATAATGATTTATCCTGGTAATGTGTCCGTGTCTGAGAAACCTATTGCCTAATACATGTATGATAAAAGATACTATTATGCACATACATTGTCATACATGTATACTTCAGAAACACATGCTTGCAGAAAGGGCGATTATGCTGGTCGTAAAAGGCGACTAACGGGATCGGGTGGTCAGGCTCGCTGACTTGGTTGATGCATGTTATCGTATCCAAATTGCGTGGATCGATGCTCATGATGTCTGTCACTGGATTGTCTGTCCCAGACTCGTTTATTTACAGACCGCCGTCATATAGCTGTAATATTACTGAGGGCGGCGTTAAACAACAAACAAACATATACATGTGCATTGCTGCTTAAAGAAAATAGCGTCATATGCATACATGTATATTGCCTCTGAAAGAAGATACAGCTATGATCATGAATGTATAAGAAGACAGTTTAGAAGCTGTCATTATATAGATCGTTCGTGCGTATTATCTCTTGGCGAAGATCAAGATATGAACATGCATCTTCGTGTACATTTTCGCGAAACGAAAACTACAAACAAAATAAAAAGCATGTTTATTCGAACGGGTTGATGCTTTGACTGAGGTTCATATTTCAAAGCACTTATCCATATTCTTTGTAACGACGCCCTTGTCTACAGAGAGATTCTAACTAATGACTGGGAACTAATAATTTGTTCCAGAAAATACCGAGGGAGACACACGTCTTCATTTAAACAAACAAATATATACGTTTACATAGACACATATTTACACTTGTACACTTACACTGATACATATTTACCCTTACACAAACACATATTTTGACTGATTTTCTATGTTGCCTCGGGTTTTACGCATATATACTTCGCTTGACCTGAACAGTTTGTCTGGAAAAATAATTTTTTTCTTGTTAAAATTCTTGAAACAGTGACAGTAAAAGATATTCCGCCTTACCAAATACCGGGCCAAATTCTTGACGATCTTCATTCATATATTTTAATCACCGCTTTTCTGTTTTAATATGTTACATATTGGTCTGAAATGTTGAAGCCATGGTAAGGTTATCAACTGTTTATGAGCGACTAAACTCAACATCAAATTGCCACGTTTCCTGCCATTTAACAATTTCAAAGTTTTTCATAACAATATTAAATTGATCATATTTGAACATTTGATCTGACGGATATCATAAACGCATTATAATCCCATGAGCAAAGCTTTAGACACTGCTGCAATTTTATTTGTTAAAATTTGAATTATCCTCACTAAAACTACTCGACGGTCAATCAAAGCATCCGTCTCCAAGTTATTGTATTCAAGATCGATTGCCAGATGTTCGGAGTATTATGAGCGAACATAATCTCCTATAAAATTTACTGACTGTGTAAAATGATGTTCTCACTCATAACCCGAACATCAGTTAATAAAGGAATATTGATTTCGATGTTCATACTGCTTCACACGTGACAATAAGAATTGACTGTATCAATCAAAAGAAATTCGATTGTTGTTCGTCGGAGGATGCATACCTATAAGATGACAAAGCCCAAGATCTCGGTGTATCCGACGTGGCTGAGTATGGAGTGCATGTGAGCATCATTTCTATTTCTTATTCATAATCGCGTTTAAATGTAAAAACAAGCAATTTGTGTGACAATTTCTTTACTTTAACTTTTACGACGTTACAGTGGATATCCTTCCACCTGTATTAATCATGTGGTGTTAGTGAGTGAGTTGGGTTTAACACCGCTTTGAACAGTATTCCAGTTATATCACGGCGTGTCAGCTTTATGCCCGAAGTGATGCAGGTCTCAGATGTTTACCAATTCGGTGACACCAACGAGCACGGGTGTGGTGCTGACAAACTTAGAAATTAAATCGGGGCGCACTGGGACTCGAACAATGATAGGTTTCTGTCGTACCAAAGGAACGCAGCCAACCTCAGCGGATTGCGGCGCCTGAGACGACTGGGCCACCCGTGTACCCGATCATGTGATGTGTACATCGAGCAGCGGTAGATAGCATAATTACCAATGTTCCACACATTGTAAATACCTAACAAAAATATAAGAAATATATTACTATTACGTTGGTCTCCAGTTCATTTCTTTGAACACTTGCTCAATTACGATGACACAATCTGTTGATTGTTATGTGTCTTGTTAAAATGTAAAAAAAAATGAAATTTTACTCTTTTCTCACAGATGTTCGCCGTTGAGGAGTTTCCTAATGTTCACAGCAATTGGCTTTGTGTTGATTGCATTATATTCTTTAAATGTTGGTAAGTATGGTTTATTTCTTCTTGTAGTTATTATGTTTTGACTTATAATGAACCTATGTATAATTATAGCTGGGATGATAACACCCCACTTTAGTGAACAGATACTGCCTATTACCTGCTTGAATATACGTTTAACGTCAATACATTCGAGGTAAAAGTACATATACGTTACATTCGTTTGCACATGAAAAACCTTGTTAACACAAAGGATAATCGACAAACTATCTGAGTTAGTCGTAATTTGAGAGTGGCAATATCAAGAATCAAGAATTAAGAATTGTTATTGAACAGAACACCCCCGTAGGGTAGGGTACAAACTATCTACATATGGACATATATATAACTATAGACATGAAAGGTAGATGTACATGATGTACATTATACATAGAAGTATTACATGTTATTTCATTTACATCATATAAACATTTATGTATATCATGGGGTGGCTGGCAGCCTACACTTAATGTTGATACTGTTTGATATACTAGAATAAAATTTCTCATGGTCTCAGCTTAAACATGTGGATATATGCGGTCATAGAAGTGGTCGACCGTCTGATATTTTCTGGGAGAGGCGGGGGAGGAGGTGTTTGTCAATATTATGTTCCCGGAAATTAGGTTCTACGTTGGATGTAAAAAAATAAATGTTTAGCTCCTTATGTTCGATAATCCGAAGCAATGACGTTTCATCAAGTTTTCAAGTTAACACGTTTTCTCTGTACTTTGAAATCCCGAAGCTTAAGATCAAGACTGTCATTATTCATCTTATAGGAATGTGCACCAAGAAGTTTGTTCGTACACTTGGGAGTTGAAGACACGGTTAGCGGTCACTTTAGCATTGGTTCATTACACTTTTAAGGTAATCCTGCAGTGAGGATGCGTATGCCTTCGCGTATGCCTTCGCGTATGCCTTCGCGTATGCCTGACAGGGGACCTGCAATTCAAGACACCGTGTCACAGCAAGTGTCGGATGCAAGGGAGATGACAGACATGTCACCTGCAGTGTCCACATCTCCGTCTTCGTTAGCCGACTTGAACAATGGTAAGTTACTCATCACAGTGGGTGAGTGACCTGCAGGTCAACCTCACTAGAACTAGTATTACAGTTACATCACAGTGGGTGAGTGACCTGAGTGAGTGAGTGAGTATGGTTTGGCGCCGCTTTATGCCATATTCCAGCAATATCACGGCGGGGGACACCAGAAATGGGCTTCACACATTGTACCCATGTCGGGAATCGAACCCGGGTCTTCGGCGTGACGAGCGAACGCTTTAACCACTAGGCTACCCGACCGCCCCGTGTGAGTGACCTGTAGGTCAACCTCACAAGAAGTAGTATTACAGTTACATCACAGTGTGTCATTTTCTATGATGAAGGTTCAGTGTCATCGTAGATGATCTTAAGAATCAATTGCTAGTGATTCCGTGGCTATGGTTTTGCTAACCGAGCATTTTCTTGTTTCCATAACCCGATAAAAATTAGACCCCGCTCACCAACGGACTTCTGTTTCCTGGTTGGCTGATAGCTGAATCGGCGGGGCTTGTTTTGTATCACAACGTTGGACGATGTCACTGATTTCGTATTGTATTGTAACTGACCGCCTCCGTGGTCTAGCGGTAGAGCGTCCGCCCGGAGAGCGGAAGGTCCGGGGTTCGATCCCCGGCCGCGTCATACCAAAAGACGTTAAAAGATGGTACTTGTTGTTACCCGGTCTGGCGCTCGGCATTAAGGGGCTAAAACAAGGACTGGTCGGCTCGGATTCAGTATACTGTGTCTGAGTGGGGTATCCATGTTAAACTGCGGCATGATATCTCAGTGTGCTAGCACTATAAATCGGCATCAGTACAAGCAGCCACACACATTTACACACATACACGAGCATGCACGTCGCAATATAAGCGCAACAATCTTGGACGCGACGTTAAACCCAATTTCACCTCACCTCGTATTGTAACGGCAGTGTTTTTGTTCTGACTTATTGATTGACAAGAATGTATTTCAAAATGGTGCGTGCGTGCGTGCGTGTTTGCGTGCGCGTGTGCGTGAGTGTCTGCCTGTCTGTCTGTCTGTTCGTCTTCGGGCAGGCGCTCTATCAACTTGTCCACTGAGGCAGTAACATATAATGGGTGTTCACATTTCAGATGAAATGACCAAGTATCCTGGTTTGAGAACGTCCATGAAGGTTCTCCCATCCGAAGCAGCTTCTTCTCGGACCAAACTCCTCATTGTGACGTACATGCGCAGTGGCTCATCTCTCACCGGGAATATAGTTCAGTTTGATCCGAATGTGTTCTACGTGTTTGAACCCCTTCACGAACTGAAATGGTACAAGTGGGGAGAGAACATAAATATTCAATACCTCAAGTCAAGGCCAAAGTTAGTAAAACTATTATCATTTCACTTCATTGTGCACGTCACCCTATGAGGGGGTGAAAAGGGCGAAGATGTCTTGCTTTAGCTTCTGGTCTATTTCCAAACAGAAGCCTATATATGACCAACTGACATTATCGTTGAAATTTTGGTGTGACATCTTTCGAAATATTTATTTTCAGCACTTTGGGCCAAAAAAACACGAACTTACTCCCTCAAATCGTGTCTCAAAATGTATCTGCATCTGTCATCGCAGGACTAGAACCTTTGTATACAATACATGCATTTACCTTTACTATGATATTGGAGGGGCGGTCGGGTAGCCTCGTGTTTAAAGCGTTCGCTCGTCACGCCGAAGACCCGGGTTCGATTCCCGACATGCGTACAATGTGTAAAGGCCATTTCTGGTGTCCCCCGTCGTGATATTGCTGGAATATTGCCAAAAGCGGCGTAAAATCACACTCACTCACTCACTACTATGAGATTGGACACAGGAGGTCAAAGGATGACGCATATCGCTGTGCCAGAATCCGCTAATCGAATGCAACATTCATCCTGATTCTCATGCACGGGGGGCGGTCGGGTAGCCTAGTTGTTAAAGCGTTCGCTCGTCACGCCAAAGACCCGGATTCGATTCCCGACATGGGTACAATGTGTGAAGCTCATTTCTGGTGTCCCCCGCCGTGATATTGCTTGAATATTGCTAAAAGCGGCGTCAAACCATACTCACTCACTCACTCACTCACTCATGTCCGGCCTGTCAGCGCCATACCCTCGGCTATGAAGTTAATCAAAGTGGTAAACGCCTTAAACCCGTGTCAATTTGGGTTGTCAACTTCATTAAGCGGACTACCTGTGATACAGATTTAGATATAGATACTTAGAATTGATCGGTTTGTGCAGGGATTCTATAGAGACTGTATTGTCTCCCTGGTTTGTGTTTGTAATGCAAATACATATGTTTGTTTGTTTGTTGTTTAACGCCGCACTCAGCTATATTCCAGCTATATGACGGCGGTCTGTAAATAATCGACTCTCGACCAGACAATCCAGAGATTGACATCATGAGCATCGATCCACGCAATTGGGATACGATGACATGCATCAACCAAGTCAGCGATCACCGTTAGTCGCCTTTTACGGCAAGAGCGAGGCTAATACATGAATTCTTTCCAGAGTTTTCCTGAACGCGAGTCCTACACTGGTCGTTGAAACACTTGTGTCGTGAGCAGAATTGGAATTCAACTGTGACGTAATAAGATCACATGTTCCACCGTTGGTTATCGCTCATGTTTGTTTGTTTGTTTGTTGGTTAACGCCACACTCAGCAATATTCCAGCTTTTTGACGGCGATCTGTAAATACTCGAGTCTGGACCAGACAATCCAGTGATTGACACCATGAGCATCGATCCACGAAATTGGGATACGATGACATGTATCAACTAAGTCAGCGATCCTGACCACCCGATCCCGTTAGTCGCCTTTTACGGCAAGCATGGGTTACTGAAGACCTATTCTACCCCGGATCTTCACAGGTCCAAATACATAATTATGTAGTCTAGTACGTTCAATTTAATGAAAACGTAGTTAGTGATTCAATGCCGCTCTGTGAACATTCTTCACGCAATGTCAAGGCGTGTCAGCTCAATGTTGGACGGAAGCCTGAACAGATATTGGTCTAACATGTTTACCACTGACAAACAAAATGGCGATTCTGGAATTTCAAACCACGATCATAGGTTTATGTCAAGCCCAAGGGACACAACTCTGAACAACCCTGTGAATTGTGTTGAATGAGGTGCCTTTGGGTGGGTTGGTGAGTTGGGTTTAAGGCCGCTTTTAACAGTATTCCAGGCCAGTGTCAGTTTAATGTGGGAGGAAAGCCCGAAGTGATGCAGGTCTTAGACGTTTACCTCTTCGGTGAAACCCACGAGCACGGGTATGGTGCTGACAAACCTAGAAACATAATCGGGGCGAACCGGGATTCGAACCCACAATCATAGGTTTCTGGCGTGCCCAAGGGACGCAACTCTGCACAGCGAATCGCTGCGCCTTAGACGACTGGGCCACCCGTGCCCCCGGGTGCCTTTGGGTCTTTGTTGAATTGTCAAATACCTTTGCTCGTTTTGTGAAAGAGTGAGTGAGTGAGTATGGTTTTACGCCGCTTTTAGCAATATTCCAGCAATGTCGCGGCGGGGGACACCACAAATGGGCTTCACACATTGTACCCATGTCGGGAATCGAACCCGGGTCTTCGGCGTGACGAGCGAACGCTTTAACCACTAGGCTACCCGACCACCCCTTTTGTGAAAGAAAAACCCAAAGGGTAAATGGTGAGTTAACATTACATGTATATTCCTGACAACTGTTCTTCATTCTTCTGTTTCGGGGCGGTGGGATAGCCGTGTGGTTAAAGCATTTGCCCGTCACACCGAAGGCCCGTGTTCGATACCAAACAGGGGTGCAGTGTGTGAACTCCATTTCCGATGTCCCAGGCCATGATATTGCCAGAATATAACAAACCAAAGTGGCGTTAAATCATACTCACTCACTCACTCACTCACTCACTCACCCACTCACTCACTCACCCACTCACTCACTCACTCACTCACTCACCCACCCACTCACTCACCCACCCACTCACTCACTCACTCACTCACTCACCCACCCACCCACCCACCCACCCACCCACTCACTCACTCACTCACTCACTCACTCACTCACTCACCCACCCATTCTTCTGTTTCAGTGTCATGACGAAATCTAAATACACCAGGATTTCAGAGAAAACCATTCGGGACATTTTCCGTTGTAATTTTCTGGAACTCGATATTGCCACTCTGACCCAATATCACATGCAATCAAGTGCCAGCACTAAATCCTACCACGATTGCTTGCTAAGATACCCCGGGGCCCTTAATCTGTTCAAGTGCATTCCAATTCTCAACAAGCGGTGCATGGCCTCTAAGGTGGGAGTCATAAAAACTATTGAATTCCCCATAACTTCTGCCAAGTACCTTGCTACCAAAGACAAATCTCTAAAGGTGCTACACCTCATTCGAGACCCAAGAGCAACATTACTTTCGCAAGTTGTACACAACCGCTTCCCATGGGAAAAGATTGAGGAGGAATCGTTAAAGCATTGTAACAAAGTATCAGAAGACCTTCGAGTGACAAGACAATGGTTAATGACGTCGCCAACGAGTATCAAAATATTGTTTTATGAAGATCTGTGCCAGAATCCTTCAACAGAGGCAAAAGAATTATATAAGTTTGTGGGTCTGAATTACACTGAAGACACGGAGAGTAGTGTGAGAAAATTAACCTCAGCGTCAAAAGATGGAAGATGTCTAATTTGTACAGTTCGGAAAAGCTCAAGAAAGGCGTCAGAAAAATGGCGGGGACACATAAATATGCGGCACGTTAAGATTATTGACAGGAATTGCCGCGACGTCTACAAGAAACTTGGGTATCTTCCAGTGGAGAATGTTGACATCCTGCGTAATGTATCACACCCACTGCGTATCATTACGCATGTCTAGCAGTAGGACACCGGGTGCACTGGACAATCTGGTTGAGTGTGTAACAGAGACCAGTGAAACCTAAAACTACCCGCAAGGCTGTATACCAAGAAGGATGACTTCAGCTTTCAAATAGTCAGTTGTATAAAACCTTATATCAAGCATTATTCAAACAGCTGCAGGTTTTTGTTTCAGCATTTTACAAATTTTGAGGAACAATCGAGCATGTTTTTTCCACAGTGATTTCAAAGAGCGTCATACGATTCTTGCTAACAAACATTCAAGGCCTTAGTAAAGCATTTTTTGTATGGTAGACATGTGGAGGATATTTTCAATATTTGACAGATCAGTGACTAGAAAGATGTTCAGGTGAACATATGACATGCCAATAAATGTTTTTGTGACGGATGCCTATTGTAGGGCAGGTTAAGCTCACCTATACGCGCATTCGTCACCACTCGCCCCTTTCCGTAACCTACAAGAAGACTCGTCCCCCTATCGATGAATGTTATGTGCGAAAATACGACAAACCAATCAGAATACGCGTATGATTTCAAGTTTTTCGTCAAAGAATCCCTCAGAAATATTTTTATTATTTTATATATGGCTTGCACCAAAAAATATACCCAAGACACAGTTAAATGTGTTCAATCATACTGTATAATTTCGCATGTCCCGATGTACTTTGAATTGCATCTGAAATATATATAATATATGGGGATATATATGTGAACCATTACGCAACGAGTTGACAATTGTTTTAGGTATGCCCGTTTGCGCTAAGACGGAACCCGGTCGCAATGAGAGGGGCACGACATTCGTGACCAACTCGTTTTATTCCGGGACAAGCCGAATAGCGACTCGTGCCCCTTTCATGGCCATTTTTGCGACCGGGTTCCATGCATCAACCAAGTCAGCGAGCCTGACCACCCGATCCCGTTAGTCGCCATTTACGACAAGCATAGTCGCCTTTTACGGCAAGCATGGGTGCTGAAGACCTATTCTACTCCGGAATCTTCACGGGTCTTCATGTCAACGACTAAATGTGATGACACTGGGGTATGAAGGATTTCTTGAGCAAAAAAGTACTGATGGATTATAACTTTTTTTAATGAAAAACAACATGTATGTAGACAACCTGTCCGGTTCGATAGATCGTTGGTTGTCGACCTGTTAGTAAAAATACCCATATTCTGATTTCCATTTAGAACGCGTCAGCGCGCAGCTTTGAATTTGAAAGACTTACAGGCTTTTCTACCTTGTTAAAGGGATACAATCATCGCGAAATCGTTACAGTTTGTTTGTGTGTTGTTCTTTACCACCGCACTCGGCAATATCCCAGCTATATGACGGCGGTCTGTAAATAATCGAATCTGGACCAGACAATCCAGTGATTGATATCATGAGTATCGATCCACACAATTGGGATACGATGACAATACGATGCATCAACCAAGTCAGCGAGCCTGACCACCCGACGCCTCTCACGACAAGCAGAGTCGCCTTTTACGGCAAGCATGGGTTGCTGAAGACCTATTCTACCCCAGATTTTCACGGGTCTTTAGTCGCATCAGCATGAGACACCTTGCAAAGATTTCCACAACAAGGATACGTTGCTGGGGACGTATCTAACCTTGAATCCAAAAGGGATCATTATCAGAAGCTGGACCGATCTCATCGTCATGATGCTTAAATACCAAAGTTCAATCTCAGAATATTGTCATGGTTGTCGATGTGTAGCACATGTATTATTTTAATGAGCACATAATGTAGAAGGCTTACTGACATGTATGGTACATGAATGTAGCATTGAATGTGTTACCATCGAAACAATTTAGAAATCCGATAATTTTGTGTCGCCCGACTTGATTCACAAGTCGGAAGTGTGCAGAGATATTGGGATTTTACGTGCGTATCAAAGGAGAAACAAGACGATGGTACATTTACGAATAAATCTAGTTTTGATTCAGGAAAGTTGTCGTCTTTTTATAGATGTACCAGATACTCCCAAAGAAACATCTAAGAAACGTTCAATTCTTTTTTCCGAATAGAAAAATGTTTCAAAAGAACTCTCTTGACATGACAATCAGAATAAATCATCACAACTGCTTCTTGGTTTTCCAGTACATCTTAATACGTCTAGTTCCACACACACATGGATCATAAAACGTAGCAGAGACTGGTGGCTTTACAGACGTGCCCTGAACGTGTCCTGGAGTACTGGCCTTCTTGCTGCTAGTCTGGCTGTGAGGGACTGGTGGTTTTACAGGCGTGCCCTGAACGTGTCCTGGAGTACTGGCCTTCTTGCTGCTAGTCTGGCTGTGAGGGACTGGTCGCTTTACAGGCGTGCCCTGAACGTGTCCTGGAGTACTGGCCTTCTTGCTGCTAGTCTGGCTGTGAGGGACTGGTGGCTTTACAGGCGTGCCCTGAACGTGTCCTGGAGTACTGGCCTTCTTGCTGCTAGTCTGGCTGTGAGGGACTGGTGGCTTTACAGGCGTGCCCTGAACGTGTCCTGGAGTACTGGCCTTCTTGCTGCTAGTCTGGCTGTGAGGGACTGGTGGCTTTACAGGCGTGCCCTGAACGTGTCCTGGAGTACTGGCCTTCTTGCTGCTAGTCTGGCTGTGAGGGACTGGTGGCTTTACAGGCGTGCCCTGAACGTGTCCTGACGGGCTAGCCTTCTTGCTGCTAGTCTGGCTGTGAGGGACTGGTGGCTTTACAGACGTGCCCTGAACGTGTCCTGGAGTACTGGCCTTCTTGCTGCTAGTCTGGCTGTGAGGGACTGGTGGCTTTACAGGCGTGCCCTGAACGTGTCCTGACGGGCTAGCCCTCTTGCTGCTAGTCTGGCTGTGAGAGACTGGTGGCTTTACAGACGTGCCCTGAACGTGTCCTGGAGTACTGGCCTTCTTGCTGCTAGTCTGGCTGTGGGAGACTGGTGGCTTTACAGACGTGCCCTGAACGTGTCCTGGAGTACTGGCCTTCTTGCTGCTAGTCTGGCTGTGAGAGACTGGTGGCTTTACAGACGTGCCCTGAACGTGTCCTGGAGTACTGGCCTTCTTGCTGCTAGTCTGGCTGTGAGAGACTGGTGGCTTTACAGACGTGCCCTGAACGTGTCCTGGAGTACTGGCCTTCTTGCTGCTAGTCTGGCTGTGAGGGACTGGTGGCTTTACAGACGTGCCCTGAACGTGTCCTGACGGGCTAGCCTTCTTGCTGCTAGTCTGGCTGTGAGAGACTGGTGGCTTTACAGACGTGCCCTGAACGTGTCCTGGAGTACTGGCCTTCTTGCTGCTAGTCTGGCTGTGAGAGACTGGTGGCTTTACAGACGTGCCCTGAACGTGTCCTGGAGTACTGGCCTTCTTGCTGCTAGTCTGGCTGTGAGGGACTGGTGGCTTTACAGGCGTGCCCTGAACGTGTCCTGGAGTACTGGCCTTCTTGCTGCTAGTCTGGCTGTGAGGGACTGGTGGCTTTACAGGCGTGCCCTGAACGTGTCCTGGAGTACTGGCCTTCTTGCTGCTAGTCTGGCTGTGAGGGACTGGTGGCTTTACAGGCGTGCCCTGAACGTGTCCTGGAGTACTGGCCTTCTTGCTGCTAGTCTGGCTGTGAGGGACTGGTGGCTTTACAGGCGTGCCCTGAACGTGTCCTGGAGTACTGGCCTTCTTGCTGCTAGTCTGGCTGTGAGGGACTGGTAGCTTTACAGGCGTGCCCTGAACGTGTCCTGAAGTGCTGGCCTTCTTGCTGCTAGTCTGGCTGTGAGGGACTGGTGGCTTTACAGGCGTGCCCTGAACGTGTCCTGAAGTGCTGGCCTTCTTTGTGCTAGTCTGGCTATTTACTCTTGGTTGTTTGTCTTCTTAGGCTGCTCCTCTGTGCTGCCCTGCTCGTGTTCGATGTCTGTCTGTCTCCCTCTTATCTGTTATGCATCGCCCTTTTAACCTGGCGGCCCAGAGATCCCCTTGTCCATTTGACAAACAAGCTGCAAATAACTGTACAAGTGTTTACCTCTATTTACTCTTTATTCTCAAGTTGTCAGGTCAAAAGCCTGACCAGAACAAAGATAATCTTAATGGCCATAGGCTACCTCTCTGCTTGAACTAAACAAAACAAAATATAATTTACCTTTATCCTATGTTCAGCTAAGGACATATGCGACTATAAGCACGTCGCCTGCCTGCACAGCTCCTGGCCATTGTAATGTTACAATCGTGCGATGTAATACGAGGTGACTGAAAAACACACACAAATCTACGTACCACTGGCACTGGTATACCTACATGTATGTTGCATTTCAGTGTTAATGCTTGCACATTTGGTGGTCAAAGTGGTCGCAAGTCTGCGCCCTGTCCAAACATCACTGTACCGTGAGTTTTTTCCTCCGGGTCAAGGTGGTGTCCATTATATTTAGGAGGAGATTAACTGATATTTTGTGGCAGTTACCATTACTTTTAGAAGACTTATTGTAAACGTCCTGTTATCTTTAACATGGACAGGGTAAGTGGTTTAGCATCATCTTCCCGAGGCAAGGATGTTAGCTGACTATAAAAGTCCACCCTTGCCGAACTTGGTTGCAATTATTGAGTTATATCTTGGCTGGACTAACGAGTCTATGCATAGTCAAATCAAAATCAAAATCGATATCTGGTTCGTAAACTGCCGTGCAGTTTTCGGTCGATTGCAGGATTTGCAAAACATGTGTAAGGACCACTTTGCATCAACAGATATATTCCAAATCGGTTCATGTTTTTAATCAAGGTGCCCCACTTCGCGTACTAAGACCCTTTTTACTACAATCAAGATCTTGATAACATCGTCTTCACTGGGCGACCCCATTTTATTTGAAGCAAATGCAAGTGAAATGAGAGATGGAATCTCATTGGTCAAAAGGAGGGGCATCGAAGCGACATAACGCGTAATAGTCTTTGGTGGCGCTACGATCGAGCCCAGAAATCCCAGCCCAGTTCGGCAAGGGTGGAAACTGGACTTTTAGTCAGTTAACTCCCTTGCCTCGGGAAGATGGTGGTTTAGTGATATTGACATTGTCAATTGCGTTTTCACCCCACCTTTCTCCTGTTACCAAGATTCGGTTTTGTCAATGAATTTGATTTGAGGCAACATTGATCAAACGAGTGACCATATGTCATGTTGTTATTTTCAATAACATTTTTGATAACAACATTTTGCACCACTGTATATTTTCCGTTGGTATAATATTAGTATAATCCAATGCTAATATTGTCGCTCGGCTCTGATATCGCTGAACCCACATGTCTCGCTTCGCACCATCAGTTTTCTGATCACAGAATTGGAATATATTACTCCTTATATCTTTGTTTAGTTTCAGCATCGATAAAACAAAAACCTCCACATCAAACTGTTTCCCTTAGGATAAGAGTTACAATTAAATCTTTCATGTTGCCAAGAGCATTGTTTACTGACAAAGTGATCAGAACGTACTGGCACAAACGTTCAGTGTGATGATAGGTAGGTTTTAAATAACATTAAGATTATGTTTTTACGTATTGTTTTTACCGGAATAATAGGAGTATTTACTATGTATTTAATCATGTTATGTCATTGTCAGCATATACATGACGTACTTTTAACATGTTTCTAGAGATTACAGATTATTAGAGATGCATACGTTTCTGTCAAGCATTTAAATGCCACATCTGCCAGTAGTTTTCGAAAGGGAGATCACCAGGCAGGCAGCTGGACTGGTCAAGCGGTAGGGAGATCACCAGGCAGGCATCTGGACTGGTCAAGCGGTAGGGAGATCACCAGGCAGGCATCTGGACTGGTCAAGCGGTAGGGAGATCACCAGGCAGGCAGCTGGACTGGTCAAGCGATAGGGAGATCACCAGACAGGCATCTGGACTGGTCAAGCGGTAGAGAGATCACCAGGCAGGCATCTGGACTGGTCAAGCGGTAGGGAGATCACCAGGCAGGCATCTGGACTGGTCAAGCGGTAGGGAGATCCCCAGCCAGGCATCTGGACTGGTCAAGCGGGGGCTGCACGGACAGGGCGACGGAGGTGATCAACGGGCGACAGTGACTCCCAAAGCGTTCGGACTTGAACAAGGCCCCTCGGTAAGTGCATGTTAGCGTTTTCCTCCTGTCCTTTAGTCTTTACAAATCTAAAGTAGATACCGTTTATGGACAACAACGGCTTTATTATAATTTAATAGCGGCGTTTGGGTGTAGATTTTTATACCGTTGCCAAGCAAGACTGAATAATGTGAACATCCATCCGGAAATAACTAACTTACTCTGAAATGTTATTCCTCTCATTCACATATGCTATAGTGGACAAGCTACACGTTTGACCTTATGAACCGCTTGGAACTACGCGAATACATGCAACATTGATAGTTTGCAATGTTTCCACGTTCACAAACACCTGATGTCGTCAATGTGAGTGCTATCATGGTTGAAATCATTTGTCGTTTTCCTTGGCTTTGTTAAACTTTCAGTTCCCTTTCTTGAAATGGAAATTTGACATGCTACTGTATAAACACAATTTCTGTTGAGTATGTTCCATAATGCATTACAATATTGTTCACTCTTCATTCTAAAAATGAATGTTCCCTACTTAAACCAATGGAAAATGTCAAAATAGGGAACTGCATCGGACATCATTATTTGTCCATGATGCGTCAAATTTAGACATTTCCTCCACATGTCTACCATAAAACTTTCTGAAAGCTTTACTGGGGCATTGGATGTTACCTCAAAATATGTCAAATGTACACCTAGGGTTGGAGCTGCAGGAATATTAATATTGCTAGCGAAAGGAATAAGCTTTTTGGTGGTTATTGAACGATATCAGATCTCCGATATACCTGAAGCTGAAGTTAAACTTCTTGGCCAAATTACCTTGTTTTTGACTTTGCCAAGAAACAAAGCTTCCACCGTTCTTTTTTTCCGTTTTAGTTGAAGAAATTAATCCGCCCTTTGAATATCGAAATATTACTTTGATCACGGATAACCAATCACAGTTCAGAAATGCGTAAATTGCCTCAGAAATTTTTTCCGCTGTCCCTACAGACGGTAGTCGATGCTTTTGTCACGCCAGCAAATCGACTCACTGCATTTCACAAGTACCGGAGGGCAGCCTCAGACAGCCGGGAAGAAGCAAGCGTCTAGTTCTCCTTTTAAATCTGATTTCTCCACCGTTACATACAGATCTTAGGACATCTCATTACAGGACGATATTTCGCGAGCTTTGACCGACCAATGAAATGACTAACAGGAAGTCGACATTAGCCAGTCAGACAGCAACTTTCTCGAGCTTTACGGTACTGTTTTAGAAATGGCGACTTCCATTCCAGACTGGGCTTTGAAACATATTTTGAGAATGTTCTCGATTCAAAATTACGGATGTCAAGATAAAGTGGGCAATGAAGAAAATCACCCTCAACTGAATCTTGACATTTAAAACAAGGTCTTTCCTCGACAGGTCTTCTCGTTTCTACATATACAGGGGCTACCCCACATTTTCTTTGACTCCAAGCCAGATTGTTACTGATATATTTCTAAACATTAATCATAGATTTTAGATTTCTGTATGAGCGAAGTATGTTTCTACCTCTCCACCTTCGCCACTTCTGTTACCTTGTGTCTGTATATCACTTTGCTTGCACTTTGAAATCGTTACAAAAATGTTTTAAAAAATAAATAAATAAAACGTTGTTTAATAATAATAATAATAATAATAATAATAATAATAATAAAAATAATAATAATCGACATGATGGAGTGGCTCGATCATTTTATTACTGCAATTATTACCGCAATGCTTGAGGTTTTGACACAGGGGTCCATCCATGGTACGACCCAGAATATGTAGACGGCGTTTGGAATAGGCCCTTATACAGCCTCAGACCTATCCAGACCAACAAACCCGATCTTGTCCTTTTTGATAAATCCAATGAAATCGTTTATATTATTGAATTTTCTGTTCCCTTTGACACCAATTGTGATTTACAAGATTCAGGAAAAACATGGCTCGCTTTCGAAATATCACGCTTTCATCCCAAGTACCAAGTTGTCGTTATAATGATTGAAGAAAGTATGTACTCTAACATATTTGCTTACATCTTGATTTCCCCTTGGTAAGCCACTGTCTTTACCATTGAAAATATCGTGGGTTTTTTCCGCGTATTTTAGGGGAAAATTTGGACCCTGCAAACCAATAAACAGACCCAGCGGTACGGGAATCCATAATTCCTGTTGTACTCTCGTACTTGTAACAACACAAAAATAAATCGGTGAAGTCCCAGGTTAGAATAGGTCCCCAGCAACCCATGCGTGCCGTGCGATGCGATTAAAAGGAGCGGGTGCCGTGAATTATGCTGAGTGCAGCGTTAAACAAAAGATGACCACACATGACAATGTCCATGACAACTAACTAGCTGCAGATACAACAGTAAAATAAAATAATACTTACCTAATCATGAGTTAATACATAGATAGTGTTTTCTATTTATTTAAGAAAATACATAATAAGAAAGAAAAGTAGACGTATTCAACATATAATGTAATTTATCATAAAATGAATATTCCAGTGAGTGGTCATGTACATTTACACATGATTAACTCCTCCAATTAGTGAAAGGTTAATAAACGTTTTGATACGCTCAATTTGATATTTATTTGGCTAAATTGTGACTATGTGTTGGTATAAGCTTTACCACAAACTGATAAATGACACATATTTTTTATATTTTACACAACAAACAATCCCATAAAACCTATGTCATAATAATTCCACATATGGTTTAATTCATTCAAGATTGGAATGTTTATCAGTTGTGGTAAAAGTATGAAATTTGTTTTGTGCCAAACAACTATTTCTTATGGGCTACCTGACACTAACTTTTCACATGCTGGTCATCCGAATGTCGCGATTGCAGTTGAAAAAAACATTTCAATTTATAAAGATATGCAAAGCATTAAAACACATGAACATTCCTCTGCGACCCAGTTTGAGAATATGACAAAAGTACATTGATTAATATTGAACCAATGCGAAATCAATAAATATTTTTTCACACGAGATGGCGTTCCGATCGACAAACCACCATGTTGTCTGCTCACTCACGAAACGATCGTTTACGTCACTCGATAAAGTGGTGATTATGAACAGATTTGTCCTTTGACGTGTGCATTCTCACAAACACATTCTACGGCAACACTGTTCGGTCTTCCAGTAACACAGAATCGGACACACACTATCGTACGAAAGGTAAGCATTTAATTAATATGTGGAAAGAAAACGGAATGAAGTTGAACCGTATTAGTGTCTCAAAAAATACGACGAGATGAAAGTTAAAATTTTGGTCGGAATCCGAACGAAATATCAATTCATTATGACCACATTTCATAATCTATTTTTTAAATTAACCCTCCTTACATTAAAGATAACTATTTAAAGAGTATAGTACTTAAAGACATTGCAACAAACCGAATAATCAGGGGGAGACTTTATACTGAGGGGGGCGCGAAATATACCGGCCCGGGGGAGATTTTTTTTCAGAACAGATTCTCCGGGTGAGAATCTGTACCGGTATAAAATCTCCGGGGGGAGAATTTGTACGGGGGAGTGTTTATACCGAGACACCGGTAGCTAATGGGTGCCACTGGTGGGGTAGGATACGCTTCTTTAAATACTCTGTTCGTGCAACCTTCGTACCCTTTTCATACACTGTTCTTGCACTGTCCATACACTGTTCATTAGCTTTTTACACACTATTCATACACTGTACTTGCCCTGTTAGTACAACCTTCATACATACTGTTCATACCCTTTTCAAACACTGTTCTTGCACTGTCCATACACTGTTCATTAGCTTTTTACACACTATTCATACACAGTGACTGTTCTTGCCCTGTTAGTGCAACCTTCATACATACTGTTCATACACTGTTCTTCCACCGTCCATACACTGTTCATTAGCTTTTTACACACTATTCATACACTGTTCTTGCCCTGTTAGTGCAACCTTCATACATACTGTTCCTACACTATTCAAACACTGTTCTTGCCCTGTTAGTGCAACCTTCATACATACTGTTCATACACTATTCATACACTGTTCTTGCACTGTCCATACACTGTTCATTAGCTTTTTACACACTATTCATATACTGTTCTTGCCCTGTTAGTGCAACCTTCATACCTACTGTTCATACACTATTCATACACTGTTCTTGTCCTGCCCATCCACTGTTCTAACTATGTTCATACACTGTTCTTGCCCTGTTAGGGCAACCTTCATACATACTGTTCATATACTGTTCTAACTATGTTCATACACTGTTCTTGTCCTGTTAGTGCAACCTTCATACATACTGTTCATACACTGTTCTAACTATGTTCATACACTGTTCTTGCCCTGTTAGTGCAACCTTCATACATACTGTTCATACACTGTTCTTGCCCTGTTAGTTCAACCTTCATACATACTATTCATACACTGTTCTTGCACTGTCCATACTCTGTTCATTAGCTTTTTACACACTATTCATACACAGTGACTGTTCTTGCCCTGTTAGTGCAACCTTCATACATACTGTTCATACCGTTTTCAAACACTGTTCTTGCAATGTTCATACACTGTTCATAGCTTTTTACACACTATTCATATACTGTTCTTGCCCTGTTAGTGCAACCTTCATACCTACTGTTCATACACTATTCATACACTGTTCTTGCACTGTCCATACACTGTTCATTAGCTTTTTACACACTATTCATACACAGTGACTGTTCTTGCCCTGTTAGTGCAACCTTCATACATACTGTTCATACACTGTTCTTCCACCGTCCATACACTGTTCATTAGCTTTTTACACACTATTCATACACTGTTCTTGCCCTGTTAGTGCAACCTTCATACATACTGTTCCTACACTATTCAAACACTGTTCTTGCCCTGTTAGTGCAACCTTCATACATACTGTTCATACACTATTCATACACTGTTCTTGCACTGTCCATACACTGTTCATTAGCTTTTTACACACTATTCATATACTGTTCTTGCCCTGTTAGTGCAACCTTCATACCTACTGTTCATATACCATTCATACACTGTTCTTGCAATGTCCATACACTGTTCATAGCTTTTTACACACTATTCATGTACTGTTCTTGCCCTGTTAGTGCAACCTTCATACATACTGTTCATATACTATTCATACACTGTTCTTGCCCTGTTAGTGCAACCTTCATACATACTGTTCATACACTATTCATACACTGTTCTTGTCCTGTTAGTGCAACCTTCATACATACTGTTCATACACTATTCATACACTGTTCTTGCACTGTCCATACACTGTTCATTAGATTTTTACACACTATTCATACACTGTTCTTGCCCTGTTAGTGCAACCTTCATACCTACTGTTCATACACTATTCATACACTGTTCTTGCACCGTCCATACACTGTTCATTAGCTTTTTACACACTATTCATACACTGTTCTTGCCCTGTTAGTGCAACCTTCATACCTACTGTTCATACACTATTCATACACTGTTCTTTCGCTGTTAGTGCAACCTTCATACATACTGTTCATACACTATTCATACACTGTTCTTGCCCTGTTAGTGCAACCTTCATACATACTGTTCATACACTATTCATACACTGTTCTTGCCCTGTTAGTGCAACCTTCATCCAAACTTTTCATACACTGTTCTGGCCCTGTTAGTGCAACCTTCATACATAACATACTGTTCATACACTATTCATACACTGTTCTTGCCCTGCCCATACACTGTTCTAACTATGTTCATACACTGTTCATGTTCCATTCATGCATTGTTCATACACTGTTTACACGCTGTTCACACTCCATTCATGCACTGCCCCTTCACTGTTCTTGTATTGTTTAAACACTGTTCAAACAGTCTTCTTGCTCCGGTCATGCACTGCATCTCCGTGCATCTTGTTTCGAGACCAACATGGCCAGCTACGAATATGTGAGTGAGTCGAAATTTAACGTCGCATCGACATTATTTCATATAGTTCTTACACATCCTCGATGTACAGTTACACGGGCTATTTGTTAATTGGGGGTATTTTATTTCAAATTTCAGCAGATTCAACATGGCAAAGATCAAAGGCTTTCTGCAGTGTGCGCTCATTACGGCATGCGTGGGAACATTATTGCTTCTTCTTGTATTTGGTAAGTTAATAAGTCGCTCTCAACACTCATCTCAAACGTAATTTGACTTTGGCCTGGAAGTTAACATGTGCGCCTTGTGCAGTAGAATACTATTTTTTCTAAATTTTAGATTTAAAAAATACCCATCCCAGAAGAAAATATGTTCTCCTAATATAAGCTAGTAAGTACAGGAGGTGTTAGCAACTTTTAAAACACAATTAGCCCTTCTTCGACATTCCTTCAGAGCCACTATGATCTTAATAACCATTTCAAGGTGTTCCAAGACACTTTCCTAAGTCCAACAAGTACCAACTCAAAGGATTGTGCAAGTTTACGTGAATAAATAGCTCTCAATGGATGATGCAATCATAACCTAATAGATAACTTGGAAGTTTGACAGACCAACATTAAGTGGTAGGATTTGATAATACAATTCAATTTTTTTCAGGGATCCATTCATATAATTTTCATCACAATTTTGCCTTTTTATTTTTCACTTTATGTCTCATGGAATCTGCTTAGGCAGATATTCGTGACTGATCATTTTCTCGCTTTTACTTTTTAAATGTAAATATCCTTAAACAGAAGTAGTTCTTCGGAGTTTCAAATGTCTCCGGGTACACATAGAGGTTATGGCCAGAATTAATAATCACAGACCACAGAAATGCAAATGTTTCATTCCACACACGCATCTGTGATGGAAACGTTTGAAAGGCCGTCCTTGTAATGACTGAACTCATTAAAGCCCATTACAACAAATTTAGTTCCAGACCATGGTGTAACATATATAGTCACAAATCGTTTTGTCGTAAACCTGCAAATCTACAAATTGCCTCGACACTATTACCAAAATTAACATTGTATGAAATATAAATTCCAACGCCAGAGAATGATCCGCCGAAACAGAATAAAATGGGCTTGAAAGGAAAACCTTGGCCGAAACCTTCTGAACCCATCTGCGCAGCATGTACGGTGAACCCTTAACAGTTTGCATGTATTGAGTAAACTAATACCACACTTGCCAAATATACAAGCAGGCAGCCTATTATTGCAGGAATCAAATTGCCTAGGTATCTCCAGATCCATAAGGGTTGACGAAGATGGATAAATTGGCTATCCAACAAGTGCATCCAACTGAAAGAGTTAACTCTGATAGCCAACCCTGCGGACACAGTGCCAAAGGGGGTTGGGGGTGTTATTATTGATGACCGACGATTCACCACACGTCACATTGTCAATACAGAGGCATCTCGCATGAGAGTATTCTGAACTGGGCATGACAAAGGTAAACGAAGGCTCCTGACTCCTAATCAGAAACGATTCAGGTTCATCGTCTCTCATGTCGTTTTGATGCAAAGCTAACTGATTTTGTTGAGCTATTAGTAACTATGGATGAGTATTGGGTCTCTACAGTGTTAGAGGAAGAATGCAAACTCTGTCCCATCAGCTTGCAAGGTGATTGCTTCTGGTGGACCAATAGTATGCAAATCTCAAGGCAAGAGGTCGTGGACAACTCACCAAAGTGGTGTTGTTCCACCTGCGCAATGCACCTGTGCACATGTCGCCATGTTGTCGTTAGGGATACAATGCATCACACTGACCTTGAACATCCGTATTCACCAGATTTTGCAAGGTCAGATTTCTACCTCTTCATAAACTTGAAGAGCTGGGGTGACAGGGCGTGAGCGTCGCGTTCGAGATTATTGCACTTATAAAGCGACGGGCATGTGCGTGTGTGTTTCCATGTATTAGTCCGGACTTGTGCCGCTTTTATTGTGCTTGCACACTGAGATACCATGCCGCAGTTTAACATGGATACTCAACTCAGACACATGATACTGACTCCGAAGTCCTGCCAGTTGTGCTCTGTAAATAATCGAGTCTGGAACCAAGCAATCCACATCTTCCCGAGGCAAAGGAGTTAACTAACTGACTTTAAATGTCCAGTTTCCACCCTTGCCGAACTAGACTGGAATTCCTGGGCTTGATCGTAGCGCCACCAGTGGCTGTTGAGAGTTTTGTCACTTCTAAACCTCTCCTATGGACCAATCAGATTCCACCTCTCGTATCACTTGCATTTGTTTCAAAAAAAATTGCGGCGGCCAGTCAAGACGATCTGATCGATAAAGTGAAGTGCATCAAATCGCATGAGCACCTTGATCAAAAACATGAAAAGACATGGAAAATATCTGTTGACAACGAGTTGGCGGTGCACATGCTGTTCAAATCCTGCAATCGACCAAAATCTGCATTTCGGATTTCGATTTCGTTGCGCTATTTTGATTGGACTATGCACAGACTCGTTAGTCCAGCCAAAATGTAAGTCCATAATACCAGCCTAGTTCGGCAATTCAGTGATTGACATCATGGGCATTGATCCACGCGATTGGGATACGATGATATGTGATTTGACCATGTCAGCCAGCCTGACTGCCCAATCCCTTTTGTCGCCTGTTACGCTTTGCATGATTGCTACAATGTGACTTTCTTTAGATCGCAGAATAACATTTTGTGCTTATTTTTAAAGAGATAATAATTTATCAACAAGTTTAAAATGATAGTAATGAGACACATATGTTGATATTGCAGATAGGATCGTCTTCAATCCAACCTCCAAGGTAGAAAAAAGTGTCTCAGACTTGGATTCAAATCGTCACGAAGGTAAGTTAAACCACAAATTCATTTTATTCAGTAACCAGCACAACGTACCTGAAGGAGGATAGCGACGCTTACGGCGTTATAACAATAAACTTTACGTTCAAGTCGAGCTAAAACATTAGAATAATCGAATATCACAGAAGAGGCAAAGAGTGAAACAGCTCAAACACTAAACGGTCAAATAAACACAAGTTAGTCATCGTACAGGCACGGCAGCAACAATCACTGTTAATATCACCGATTAAACGAACAATCATAATGATAATATGAAAATGTTTAATTTGAATAGTGTTCACAATAATCAACGACAATGGCATGAGAAAATGGCGAATATTTGCTATTCGATTTATTAAGTTGGTTGTTTGGTTGTTTAACGCCGCACTCAGCGATATTCCAGCCATATGAACGCGGTCTGTAAATAATCGAGTCTTGACCAGACAATCCAGTGATTAATGGATTTATATAGTTCTACAAAGTTTATTTCGACTTTTAGATACTTTCCAATTATGGGAACTTTTCCATGAATATTTAAAAAAAACATCAACGCCAGAGAATTATCAGTCTCCACAAAGCGGAAAAGATAAAAACGGTGAAAATTACATAAATGAATCAATGAAAACAGTGATAAAAAAAACAGGTGTTTAGAAAAAGGTAAGCATGTCCTGCTCTACCGGTAGTACTCGTCTCTCACACAATTTGAATAAAAAATCCTTTTGTTTGTTGCCCATAAATTATCACTGAAGCCATGGAAGGAGGATAAATGTATGACGAAGTTCTTTAAGCCTTAAAAAACGAAAGAATTTTTTATAAAAATACCGATCCTTCAGTATTTACAGTAGCATGGTATCAACACCATTTCATGACATACATGTTTTCCTAAAAAGACAAACCTAAAATCTCCACTAAGTATGCCGGGACCAACCATTTAATATTCTGGGACGGGATGGGATAGGATTTCTGTCAGCGATAAGATAATTTCTTTCGGCCCTTGCACTCTTGCACTCAACTGCTTTCTGTGAAAGCAAGAGCAGAACGATACTTAAATATCACACATATGTTTACACCCATCGAGCAATCTAGTTTGGAGGGAAAACCGGAGAACAAATTATTTCTTTCCATAATTGATACCTGTCCTTGTTAAATATGTGTTAAATGTAAGTGTACCACAAACATCCTTAAATTACAAAGTCCATTAAGATATATTGTAAAATCATTAGATTGATGTATCTCAAGTAGACATCTTAACGGGATATTCCAGCATACAAACAGAAAACAAATGAGGTCGATAACAATTTAGAACGTTTTTCATAACAAAGCAAAGATTTTCTGTCTGCAATAGATCTGGTTTATCACGTAAATGACAATAATGCACATATTCTATCAGTACATGAAATAACAGTAATTAATGTAACGGTAGTATGACTACATAAAGTATATTAAAAAAGTTTAATAATGTACCTGGCTTCGATTTCAAAACAAGAAATAACCAACAAAACATACTTCCATATTCCTCCCTTAAACACACCTTATTTAATTAGTTTTTTCGTTTTCACTCTTTTTTTCGAAAACATATTCAAGAGCGCAAATCTGTTTCTGATACCAATATATTTGGGCTCTTTAAAGAACATTCGGTGCATACCATGTGATTCTTGGATACATTACTAGCACTGCCTTAGCACTTGTTATGAATAGGGGCGGTCGGGTAGCCTAGTGGTTAAAGCGTTCGCTCGTCACGCCGAAGACTCGGGTTCGATTCCCCACATGGGTACAATGTGTGAAGCCCATTTCTGGTGTCCCCCGCCGTGATATTGCTGGAATATTGCTAAAAGCAGCGTAAAACCAAACTCACTCACTCACTATTATGAATAATGCTTTAAACACAGAATTTGTGTATAGAAAGAAATTATGTATATGCTTATTATAATAGATAAAAATATGATAAACTCTTTTAAAAAAGTAAGGGATACTCGAAAATGACTCAAAATGTCCAATGTGTTAGAGATATTAGTTTCTGGTTATAGTTGTCTGATAATAAGGAACGAAGTGGGAACACACTACAACCGGAAGTGAAGTAGTTGTTTTGACGATCGATCTTGAAGGACGGCAGGCGTCAGATGGGAAATTGACGTGTTTGTTGACGTATTTGGATCAGAAGTAGCGCGTAATACCGCAACGATTTGTCAAACATTCATGCTCTTGACGAGACATACTGCGTATGAGGGAATTTGAGGGAATCGGCCCCACTTCTCTTGCAGCGCCTGGCCAAGTTCAGCCAATCTGGTTGGCGGCCTATAACATTGTTTGTTTGTTTATTTGTTGTTTAACGCCGCACTCAGCAATATTCCAGCTATATGACGGCGGTCCGTAAAATAATCGATGACATCATGACCATCAATCCACGCAATTGGGATCGATGACATGCACCAACCAAGTCAGCGAGCCTGACCACCCGATCCCGTTAGTCACCTCTTACGAAAAGTGTAGTTGCCTTGAAACGGCAAGCATGGGTTGGTGAAGACCTATTCTAACCCGAATCTTCACGGATCCCTATGACGTTGACGTACACGTCTCCCTAAGGCGGGTCCAGTGAGGGAAAGGTATTGGTTCATTGCTCGACATGGCATTCTATGGATGCTGTGCTGCTAGGGGTGAGCACGTTGAGCACACACGGCCTGAAAACGGGACAACAGAGGGTGTCCGGATGTTGTCCCGATAGTACTGTCCAGTGACCCTTCCTTGAATTATGTCGAGTGGGGTTCGGTCAATCCTTGTGATGCTACCCCACTCCAGAAGAAGAAGAAGAAGAAGAAGAAGATTTTATTAACGTCTCACTTGTATACCACATTTTTGTTAAAACAACTTAAAAATATAGTTACATTAAAGTTGTATACAACCAATCGCACAGCGATTTATGAGAGACTCCATGACCGATCCAATGTCAAATCTGTCATGAGGTCTCAGGTTGACATTGGCTTGACGTTCATTTCAACGTCGCCACGCTTATCCCAGTTTCGACGTTTTTGTTGTTGTTGTTTTTATAAAATGTACAATCTTAGAAGTAAGCTTTTTAATGGGGGGTTTTCCAATCCATCTTAGAATGGGGTGTCGTCTGCTAGCCCAGGTAGAACCATCTGGTAGCATATAATTACCAGCCCGTTCCTGGCTGTTCCTATTGAAGAGTTCAAAGAAAACCAGCCTGTTCACTTTTGAGCAGAATTTTTACCTTGCTCCCCATACTAGTTCGTTCTTGCATTGGATGTTTGTCGTCAACATTTATTTTCATTTTTCATAATCCCCCTTTATTTAATAGCATATATGCTTTTGGTGTTTCGTATATTCTCATTCTTATTTTCTTATTTTATGCTTAATCAAAGAAGGATAAAAAACGTTTCTACAATTTCAGAGACTCCCCCAGAATCATATGTTGACAAATTTCAAAAGTTACACACCTACCTCTCATAAACTTGAAGAGCTGGGGTGACAGGGCGTGAGCGTCGCGTTCGAGATTATTGCACTTATAAAGCGACGGGCATGTGCGTGTGTGTTTCCATGTATTAGTCCGGACTTGTGCCGCTTTTATTGTGCTTGCACACTGAGATACCATGCCGCAGTTTAACATGGATACTCAACTCAGACACATGATACTGACTGCGAAGTCCTGCCAGTTGTGCTCTGTAAATAATCGAGTCTGGAACCAAGCAATCCACATCTTCCCGAGGCAAAGGAGTTAACTAACTGACTTTAAATGTCCAGTTTCCACCCTTGCCGAACTAGACTGGAATTCCTGGGCTTGATCGTAGCGCCACCAGTGGCTATTGCGAGTTTTGTCACTTCTAAACCTCTCCTATGGACCAATCAGATTCCACCTCTCGTATCACTTGCATTTGTTTCAAACAAAATTGCGGCGGCCAGTCAAGACGATCTGATCGATAAAGTGAAGTGCATCAAATCGCATGAGCACCTTGATCAAAAACATGAAAAGACATGGAAAATATCTGTTGACAACGAGTTGGCGGTGCACATGCTGTTCAAATCCTGCAATCGACCAAAATCTGCATTTCGGATTTCGATTTCGTTGCGCTATTTTGATTGGACTATGCACAGACTCGTTAGTCCAGCCAAAATGTAAGTCCATAATACCAGCCTAGTTCGGCAATTCAGTGATTGACATCATGGGCATTGATCCACGCGATTGGGATACGATGATATGTGATTTGACCATGTCAGCCAGCCTGACTGCCCAATCCCTTTTGTCGCCTGTTACGCTTTGCATGATTGCTACAATGTGACTTTCTTTAGATCGCAGAATAACATTTTGTGCTTATTTTTAAAGAGATAATAATTTATCAACAAGTTTAAAATGATAGTAATGAGACACATATGTTGATATTGCAGATAGGATCGTCTTCAATCCAACCTCCAAGGTAGAAAAAAGTGTCTCAGACTTGGATTCAAATCGTCACGAAGGTAAGTTAAACCACAAATTCATTTTATTCAGTAACCAGCACAACGTACCTGAAGGAGGATAGCGACGCTTACGGCGTTATAACAATAAACTTTACGTTCAAGTCGAGCTAAAACATTAGAATAATCGAATATCACAGAAGAGGCAAAGAGTGAAACAGCTCAAACACTAAACGGTCAAATAAACACAAGTTAGTCATCGTACAGGCACGGCAGCAACAATCACTGTTAATATCACCGATTAAACGAACAATCATAATGATAATATGAAAATGTTTAATTTGAATAGTGTTCACAATAATCAACGACAATGGCATGAGAAAATGGCGAATATTTGCTATTCGATTTATTAAGTTGGTTGTTTGGTTGTTTAACGCCGCACTCAGCGATATTCCAGCCATATGAACGCGGTCTGTAAATAATCGAGTCTTGACCAGACAATCCAGTGATTAATGGATTTATATAGTTCTACAAAGTTTATTTCGACTTTTAGATACTTTCCAATTATGGGAACTTTTCCATAAATATTTAAAAAAAACATCAACGCCAGAGAATTATCAGTCTCCACAAAGCGGAAAAGATAAAAACGGTGAAAATTACATAAATGGATCAATGAAAGCAGTGATAAAAAAAACAGGTGTTTAGAAAAAGGTAAGCATGTCCTGCTCTACCGGTAGTACTCGTCTCTCACACAATTTGAATAAAAAATCCTTTTGTTTGTTGCCCATAAATTATCACTGAAGCCATGGAAGGAGGATAAATGTATGACGAAGTTCTTTATGCCTTAAAAAACGAAAATTTTTTTTATAAAAATACCGATCCTTCAGTATTTACAGTAGCATGGTATCAACACCATTTCATGACATACATGTTTTCCTAAAAAGACAAACCTAAAATCTCCACTAAGTATGCCGGGACCAACCATTTAATATTCTGGGACGGGATGGGATAGGATTTCTGTCAGCGATAAGATAATTTCTTTCGGCCCTTGCACTCTTGCACTCAACTGCTTTCTGTGAAAGCAAGAGCAGAACGATACTTAAATATCACAAATATGTTTACACCCATCGAGCAATCTAGTTTGGAAGGGAAAACCGGAGAACAAATTATTTCTTTCCATTGTCGGGATTTTCTTAAATCCCAGCCCTAATTGATACCTGTCCTTGTTAAATATGTGTTAAATGTAAGTGTACCACAAACATCCTTAAATTACAAAGTCCATTAAGATATATTGTAAAATCATTAGATTGATGTATCTCAAGTAGACATCTTAACGGGATATTCCAGCATACAAACAGAAAACAAATGAGGTCGATAACAATTTAGAACGTTTTTCATAACAAAGCAAAGATTTTCTGTCTGCAATAGATCTGGTTTATCACGTAAATGATAATAATGCACATATTCTATCAGTACATGAAATAACAGTAATTAATGTAACGGTAGTATGACTACATAAAGTATATTAAAAAAGTTTAATAATGTACCTGGTTTCGATTTCAAAACAAGAAATATACAAAACAAAACATACTTCCATATTCCTCCCTTAAACACACCTTATTTAATTAGTTTTTTCGTTTTCACTCTTTTTTTCGAAAACATATTCAAGAGCGCAAATCTGTTTCTGATACCAATATATTTGGGCTCTTTAAAGAACATTCGGTGCATACCATGTGATTCTTGGATACATTACTAGCACTGCCTTAGCACTTGTTATGAATAGGGGCGGTCGGGTAGCCTAGTGGTTAAAGCGTTCGCTCGTCACGCCGAAGACCCGGGTTCGATTCCCCACACGGGTACAATGTGTGAAGCCCATTTCTGGTGTCCCCCGCCGTGATATTGCTGGAATATTGCTAAAAGCGGCGTAAAACCAAACTCACTCACTTACTATTATGAATAATGCTTTAGACACAGAATTTGTGTATAGAAAGAAATTATGTATATGCTTATTATAATAGATAAAAATATGATAAACTCTTTTAAAAAAGTAAGGGATACTCGAAAATAACTCAAAATGTCCAATGTGTTAGAGATATTAGTTTCTGGTTATAGTTGTCTGATAATAAGGAACGAAGTGGGAACACACTACAACCGGAAGTGAAGTAGTTGTTTTGACGATCGATCTTGAAGGACGGCAGGCGTCAGATGGGAAATTGACGTGTTTGTTGACGTATTTGGATCAGAAGTAGCGCGTAATACCGCAACGATTTGTCAAACATTCATGCTCTTGACGAGACATACTGCGTATGAGGGAATTTGAGGGAATCGGCCCCACTTCTCTTGCAGCGCCTGGCCAAGTTCAGCCAATCTGGTTGGCGGCCTATAACATTGTTTGTTTGTTTGTTTGTTTATTTGTTGTTTAACGCCGCACTCAGCAATATTCCAGCTATATGACGGCGGTCCGTAAAATAATCGATGACATCATGACCATCAATCCACGCAATTGGGATCGATGACATGCACCAACCAAGTCAGCGAGCCTGACCACCCGATCCCGTTAGTCACCTCTTACGAAAAGTGTAGTTGCCTTGAAACGGCAAGCATGGGTTGGTGAAGACCTATTCTAACCCGAATCTTCACGGATCCCTATGACGTTGACGCACACGTCTCCCTATAAGTTCTAAGGCGGGTCCAGTGAGGGAAAGGTATTGGTTCATTGCTCGACATGGCATTCTATGGATGCTGTGCTGCTAGGGGTGAGCACGTTGAGCACACACGGCCTAAAAACGGGACAACAGAGGGTGTCCGTCTCACTTGTATACCACATTTTTGTTAAAACAACTTAAAAATATAGTTACATTAAAGTTGTATACAACCAATCGCACAGCGATTTATGAGAGACTCCATGACCGCTCCAATGTCAAATCTGTCATGAGGTCTCAGGTTGACATTGGCTTGACGTTCATTTCAACGTCGCCACGCTTATCCCAGTTTCGACGTTGTTTTTCGTAGTTGTTTTTTATAAAATGTATATAAAATATTAGTAGTAAGCTTTTTAATTGTTTTCCCCCGATCAATCTTAGAATGGGGTGTCGTCTGCTAGCCCAGGTAGAACCATCTGGTAGCATATAATTACCAGCCCGTTCCTGGCTGTTCCTATTGATGAGTTCAAAGAAAACCAGCCTGCTCACTTTTGAGCAGAATTTTTCCCTTGCTCCCCATTGTAGTTTGTTCTTGCATTGGATGTTTGTCGTCAACACTTATTTTCAGACCCGTGAAGATTTCGGGGTAGAATAGGTCTTCAGCAACCCATACTTGCCGTAAAAGGCGACTATGCTTGTCGTAAAAGGCGACTAACGGGATCGGGTCGTCAGGCTCGCTGACTTGGTTGATACATGTCATCGATCCCAATTGCCCGGATCGATGCTCATGGTATTAATCACTGGATTGTCTGGTCCAGACTCGATTATTTACAGACCGCCGTCATATAGCTGGAATATTGCTGAGTGCGGCGTTAAACAACAAACCAACCAACCAACTTATTTTCATTTTTCGTATTTCGTATTTCGTATATTCTCATTCTTATTTTCTTATTTTATGCTTAATCAAAGCAGGATAAAAAACGTTTCTACAATTTCAGAGAATCCCCCGGAATCATATGTTGACAAATTTCAAAAGTTACACACCTTGAATGACCAGCTCCCCCGTACAAACGTAATTATACTTACGTACATGCGAAGCGGCTCGACTCTAACGGGAGAAATATTTGGTCAGCACCCGGATGTATTCTACGTTTTTGAACCAATGCATACTTTGAAATGGGAATTGTGGTCAAAAAGAACACGCCTGAGCTTTTTTGATCAAACTTCAAGGTACGAATAATTTTTTGCTATCATGATTGTTTTAATTTTTCATATATATTTTAGACGGACGCGTGGTGATTCCAGGTAAAAATATAAGTCCACAGTAACCTTTGATTTTTTGACGATGGCGACTACATGGATCGGGGAGTCAGGCTCGCTGATTTGGTTGATTGCATGTCATCGGTTCCTAATTGCATGGATCAATGTACATGATATCAATCACTGGATTTTCTAATCCAGGCTCGATTATTTACAGACCACAGCTGGAATATTGCTGAGTGCTTATTTAAACAACAAACTTGCAAACAAATAAACCTTTTCAAGAGGCAAGCTGAGTTCACATCTGCAGATCTAGTTTAATTATAATTTTAACAGGCGAAATTGCGATACAAATGATGTGGAGTTCGTTTAAGTTCTAAGTTCGTTTGTTGTTTAACGCCGCACTCAGCAATATTCCAGTTATATGACGGCGGTCTGTAAATAATAATCGAGTCTGGACCAGACAATCCAGTGATTGACATCATGAGCATCGATCGAAGCAATGGGAATCGATGACATGCATCAACCAAGTCAGCGAGCCTGACCACCTGATCCCGTTAATCGCCTCTTACGACAAGCATGGGCAACTGAAGACCAATTCTAATCCGGATCTTCACGTGACCATTACGCTCAGACACCATAAAAATATGATAGCATTTATCATTTCCATTCGGAACCGACCGTTTATATCATATTAATATGTAAATTGCCCTGAATGTCTTCCATACATTTCCTGGAATGATTTAATCAGGACGTTGAAGGTGTCTATTGTACTTCCGTCAATGTGTTGTCTTTAAAACAGCAATCCCTCTATATGCTGATAACTGGAGTGTGTGATTGTTGCTTAACACCGCATCAGCACCTTGCAGCTATTCGCGGCGAGCTGATGACAGGTATTCGGAACAGGAGAAAACTACCATGCAATGACGACCTTCAGTTTGAATGTAGACCCCAGTTTTAAAACCCCTGTGGTGATTGCGGGTTATTGGTCCCAAAATACGTGATCGGGTTGTCAGACTCGGGGAATTGGTTGAGTGCGTATCATTGCTCACAATATCAATCACTGGACAATCAGGGCTCGATTATTTGCAGGTGCCTGTCTTATAGCTGAAATATTGCGTAGTACGGCGTTAAACAAGAAAACAACAAATATGAATTTGTATACAGGGCGAAGATCTGGGATAGACTAGGTCTTCAGCAACCCATTCTTGCCGTAAAAGGCGACTATGCTTGTCGTAGGAGGCGACTAACGGGATCGGCTGGTCAGGCTCGCTGACTTGGATTGACTGGTCCAGACTCGATTATTTACAGACCGCCGTCATATAGCTGGAATATTGCTGAGTGCGGCGTTAAACAACAAACCAACCAACAACTTGTGTACAATGATATTTCATGTGTGAACCATTTTTTCCAGGGAAGTCAAAAGTGAAAAAGATTTTGCAAACACAGCAAAAGACATTGCCGACGGGTTTTTGAGGTGTCATCCAACTAAGATAGACATTGCAACACTAAGTCAACATCACTTAGGAAAAAGCAAAGATACGATACCTTACAAGATGTGTCTAAAGTCAAAGCCCGGAGTCCTGAAAATGTTAGACTGCTTACCAATTCTTCAAAAGCAATGCTTGGACTCAAACGTATCTGTTATCAAAACAATACGTTTCCCAATGGAAGCAGTGGAGACAATGATGAAATCAAATCCATCATTAAAAGTCATACACTTGGTGAGAGACCCACGGCCCACCATCAAGTCTCAGATATCATTCGGGCGTGACACTTGGAGCAACCTTGATCCGTACTCCAAGGAGCACTGCTTGAGGGTACAGAAAGACCTGCAGGTTACCAAGCGACTGATGGAATCTCACCCTGACAAAACTAAATTGCTCTTGTATGAGGATTTAGTAGTCCACCCTTCTCGAATTGCGCAGGATCTGTTTTCATTTGTAGGTCTGGCTTATACACGTGAGACGGAACGATTCGTTCAATCCAAGACGAACGGCACAGTGGACGAACACTGTGTTTTGTGCACTCAGAGGCTAAACTCATCACTTTCGGCTCTGCAGTGGCGAAAAGAACTTGACTTCAATAGAGCTCAGGTCATAGACGCTAATTGTAAAGCAGTATACCAAATGTTAGGTTATTTGCCAGTAAATACTGCAACTGAACTCAAAGACTTGTCAAAAAGTTTGAAAATCGAAAGGAACTTATAAAGGTACATGTTTTATACAGTGAAACATCAAACATCAAACGATATGATTAGGACCCTGTTTTAACCCACTTGAAATGTCGTTTTATCGTTGCGGAAATTGGCATGAAAATTATTGGACACGATCATTTCGCTGGCAATTGGCCCCTATTCTTTAATTATAGTGGTAGATTTAGACTTCCGACATGATCAAATATATAAGGATCATGCCAAATATACGTGAAAAAATCCATGCTCATCTCCAAATATTAGAAAAGTGCCTCCTGAAAACCTCTAACATCAGCCTGTTTCACCAAAGCCTATGTTTTTAGTGTTCGCATAAGTTCCAAATATGTTGATCACCACTCAGATACATTTAGGCAGTGTCAGCTTGGGAGGGGGGGGGGGGGGGGCACGGGTGGCCCAGTCGTCTAAGGCTCCGCGATTCGCTGTGCAGAGTTGCGTACCTTGGGCCTCTCAGAAACCTATGATTGTGGGTTCGAATCCCGGTTCGCCCCGATTATGTTTCTAGGTTTGTCAGCACCATACCCGTGCTCGTGGGTTTCACCGAAGTGGTAAACATCAGAGACCTGCTTCACTTCGGGCTTTCCTCCCACATTAAGCTGACGCGCCGTGATATAACTCGAATAGTGTTAAAAGCGGCGTTAAACCCAACTCACTCACTCATCTTCCCGAGACAAGAGAGTCCACTGGCCAACATCAAAGTCTGGTGAAGGAATGGTTGAAGACCATGGGGTTGAAGAACGTCATCACTGTAGATCTGGCCGTTGAAGCTGCCACGGATGCCGACAAGTCCCGTCCGTTGGTTCATGGGCCAAGGCCATTCAACGGAAGGAGCTCGATTACCAGCGATACGGACACGTCGACTGATGCGGCGGTGCAACCATGTTGCTTCCGTTTCCGTCCCTGTGACGAACTTGTTGGGCAAATGGTAAGTGTGCAAGTACCGGTAGTCCTGGGGCGTCGTCACGCGTGGTCTGCCTGATTGTCAAGGGGCTGTCTTCCATAATCAGGGGTGTCATAAAATGCGAATTAAGTAGTAAAGGGTGATAGGTTCACAGGTTCACAAGTTCATTATAACGGCTCCTTGTAGGTGATACTAATAGATGACAATAGAGGATCAGATAATGACAATCAGTGCTAACAAGGATCACTGATTAATTACATCAGCGCAGATATACCAGCGGCTGAACTAAGCAACCGTATTACAGTATTACAATGAGAGGCTATAACAACACTTTGACAAGATACCGACCAGATGCGTAGACAGCCAATTACGTCGGCTGCGACTAATTAACACCTGAGTCAATTAACTCAACACTCTAAGGAGTGAATAACCTCGGTCGGGTGAAATAACGGGAAATAAACACAGAGGGCACAAACAAGCCACTTAGGCTGATAAATAGTCGATTACGTCTGAATATCAGCTAGTCTTAATAGACAAAAGATTCAGTCACTTTGACTGAACAAGGAAACACAAAATTCCCAAATAACTGGACAATCACGGGAAGGTTGGTTATCAACGGATTACTAGAAAAAACGGAGTACAGTAAACTACGTTTATAACGAACTGACGGATATAACGAACTTATTTTTTAGTCCCGGCCATTTGATGTGAATATGCTGTATATATGCTTATAACGAACTACGGTTATTTCGAACTAAAATTAGTGGTCCCTTTGAGTTCGTTGTAACCGTAATTTACTGTACTTCAAACAATAGTTACTTAGTGCCTAGACCATCACGGGAATGTTGGTTATCCAAATTACTAGAAAAACTGAGTTTTATTAACCCTAGTAACAAAGTTTAGTTCAGTCAGATTCTAGATCGAACCTAGTCCCGAAAACCACTTACTGACGAAACCTGAGTTTCGACCGTGCCCACCCCAGTAGCGAGACAATCATGAACGATTTCACGGTTCCTGGAGGGTGGAGAAACAAAATCTAGAAAGCCTTTAAAGCCTTTAAATATACAGCGCGGAGGAATTCAACAGACTGGGGCGACTTGCCAGCGTGTGAGGTTCTAAGTATCGAAATAGAGCGCTGAACATAAGCTTTCCAACCGTATCATACAGATACACACCAAGCTATGTACAATTATTGGTGAGGCAAAAATGATCATAAATACATGAGACATATCTGAATGTACATATAAATTCCCCTAACTACAAAAGCATTTTCAATAGAAGATTACGGTAGCGAACATAGTAGCGATAACATACATCCAGTTAGACTTACATTTAGTCTCTGAAATGAACATATCGTACATAAAAAAAACAGTTGTTCAGTTATCTTAATAAAAATATAATAAAAAGGAGCCCAGTGACTCTCTTCATTTTCAGATACTGCAGTGATCTAGACTTGCCAAACAGTCTAGACTTGCATGGGCTGTAATTGATATATATTTGTATCAGGGTCTGTAAGACAGACTAACATCCAGTCAAAACATGGTATTACATCACACGATAATGAAATAGTCGGGCCACTAAATCTAACACAAAATGTACTGTGAGGATGGTTGCACACATTCCTTGCAATCTGGATGTGGTTGGCACCCATTTGCCTCATTTCCATGGCCCTCGCTTTCGTTTGTGCTTTTTCATTTATTTACTTGTATTTTTTTGCAAGGATCAATTGCATTTTATACCATTTCTGCACTTGCATTTTTAGGCATATCAGAAAAAGGTGTTTAGTTATTTTGTAAGTGCTGCACGCGTCTCTGGCCCTTAAGTTGGCAGTGTTTCGGCGACAGCTTGAGAATGTTTGACATTTTCTGTTCCCTGGCAGTTTATAACTGTCAACAGCGAATTGATCCTCTTATGCAGCGTTATATGTTCATCCCCGAGACAATGAAGTTTTTTTCCTGGTCACGAGGATGCGCTTGCATCTGCTCACACGACACCATGTTACCAGATGTTGTGGTCATGAAATATTTACGAATAGATTTTGTGATCAATAAGGTAGGTTTTTAACTGAGGGAAAATAATTGCATTTATAACTGTTTCTATATAAATACGATATCTGTGGAGGTTAAATAACAACATGTAAATACGTGAAGCTTGCAATAAACATGTGAGTTCATATTTGTAAAGATGAAATGAAAAAGTTCCAAATAATAAAAAAACAGCTGTTGTGATCGCTTATAATAGTGTTGCAAATGTTAAGGCAAAACATGAAATACTGAATGAAATAAATGTCATTGTTATATTGCTACTGATGTCACATGAAGAGACAGAAGCCCTAGGCCATGCACATGTTTGGATAAAATGATATGTTGCGTCTTTTGTTTCGTTTTGAATGAATAAAATGTGTTAGTTTATTCTTCAGAATGTGTTCGTGTTCATTTACTTTGATGGTCTTTTATTCATATTTGTTTTCAATGCAGTTGTAGACTTACACCATGTTTAGAATGTGGACCCACCCAGAAAAAAATATGTTATTTTTGGCAGTTTATTTATTATTGAGCAATGATTGTAACTGTGTTACGTTGTCTCTGTCGAAATTCGGTGAAGATTCCGGGGTAGAATAGGTCTTCAGCAACCCATACTTGCCGTAAAAGGCGACTATGCTTGTCGTAAAAGGCTACTAACGGGATCGGGTGGTCAGGCTCGCTGACTTGGTTGATGCATGTCATCACTCCCAATTGCGTGGATCGATGCTCATGATGTTAATCACTGGATTGTCTGGTACAGACTCGATTATTTTACGCACCGCCGTCATATAGCTGGAATATTGCTGAGTGCGGCGTTAAACAACAAACCAACCAACCAACCAATCAATCTAAATTCGGTAGACGCTCATTGCATTGTTTTTGGACAATGATTAGTCGTCAGCAAAGAAGTACTATTTAATGTAAGCTGTTGTCAGGAAGTTACTATATTTAGATGCCAGTGTGCCACAAGACTGAATGTTACATGAGAAGTGCCGATGTGCACAATCATCAGAACACTCGCTGGTTTTCGCTCTCGTTAGAACCACATCATTGCTTCATTCGTTGGTTGAGAATATCGACTACAAGACTAGATGGCCGTATGTATTCAGGGATATTGACGTAAAGTATTGATTGAGTGAATGAGTATGGTTTTCCGCCGCTTTTAACCATATTACAGCAATATCACGGCGTAAAGTATTGACGATGAATTAACATAAGACCATTAGTGTCTAGAAAACGTCATATGATTACAAACATTGCATGTATTCTAGGGTTTAATGACATATTCTAAGAAGTAAAAACCTATGATTGTTGGTTCGAATTCCGATTCGCCCCGATCATGTTTCTGGGTTCGCACTCACTCACTCACTCACTCACTCACTCACTCACTCACTCACTCACAGGGACACGTTCAGGGGATATATATAACTCGCTTCTCTGGGTCCTAATCACAGGTCCCACGTTATCACTGGGCCCAGCAACATGTCTGTATATGTGTAAGATTATTCAGATGGTTGGTTAGAGGGTGGCCACACCCTTCATAATCACGAAAAACCTTCCACCAGAGTGGGCAGCGCGAACCTCTCCAAGTCTTTCAGGGCCAATCTCTTCCTACTTCGTCGTTCAAATGCTGCTCAAACTGCCCCCGCCTTTGTTGCACCTCCAAGTACTTGTGGTTGTGTCGGGGTCGAATTCCGGCATATTCAGTTTTGATACGAATCGTCATTAGGACATCTTCCGCATAACAAAAACAGTAGGAGTTTCAATCACCTCGTTAATATACGGGAGCTACAAATGGACATACCCGTGAAGATCCGAGTTGCAAATGACATACCCGTGAACATCCGGGTTATAATACGTCTTCAGCAACCCATGCTTGCGGTAAAAGGCGACTATGCTTGTCGTAAGAAGCGACTAAAGGGATCGGGGTTCAGGCTCGCTGACATGGTTGATGCATGTCATCGTTTCCAAATTGCGTAGATCGATGCTCATGATGTCAATCACTGGATTTTCTGGTCCAGACTTGATAATGTACAAACCGCCGTCATACAGCTGGACTATTGCTGAATGCAGCGTTAAATTACAAACAAACAGCAAATGACACCTTGGAATGACGGAAGCAAAGCGTATATTAGAAAAAGCGTTTATTGTGATGAGCCTGATACCATTGAATGGCTATTTAACTTGGCGTGTTTATTGACTTCAAGAACAAGCAGACTTTTGTTAATGTACCAGAATCAGCTGTGTTGTTGTTTCTTCATTGAATAGAAACATGACAGCCATTCATTTACACGGGATTGGTGAATCGCGAGACCGCATCATCTCGGAAAACGGGGAAGTTCACATGTCCCGTCTTCGATCCCCAGCCGCGTCATACCAAAAGACGTTAAAAGATGGTACTTGTTGTTACCCTGTCTGGCGCTCGGCATTAAGGGGCTAAAACAAGGACTGGTCGGCTCGGTGTCAGTATACTGTGTCTGAGTGGGGTATTCATGTTAAACTGCGACATGGTATCTCAGTGAGCTAGCACTATAAATCGGCATCAGTCCGGACTAGTACAAGCAGCCACACACACACATACACGTGCATGCACGTCGCTATATAAGTGCAATAATCTTGGACGCGACGTTAAACCCCATTTCACCTCACCTCACCTCACATGTCCCGTCAGATAGAAGTATCGCTTTTAAGGGACCTTAGATAGGATGAAACCGTTGATTACATGAGATACAAGGTACAGATCGTGTTTTGGGAATTTCAGCGAGAGATATTCACTCCACCCATCTTATAATCAGACGATAATTAATGATAACCCAAGAGTACTACAGAACATATGTAAACGTTGAATATACCTCCATCTATTATAATCCGACCAGTTATGCTGGGATATACGTTGTACTGTCTGGATTAACAGGATTTGATGGCATTGTTTGGTTTTCATGCAAAGCAATCTGTATAATTCAAAAATTTATCATCCAGATCATTTAAGTCCTTCGTCAGCATAATGATTTAAGGGTCATGAAACAATTGCAAAATTTCCATACGTTCCCGAAGTCAATATTAACTATGATCATATTAAATGTATTTTTATAACTGGAAAATAAAAATAAAGATATTATAAGACATTAAAGATCGACCAATAGTCAAACTGCATTACAAATTACTGGTCAAGATTCGGACCTGGATACACAGATGTCTTTAAATAGGTATTCGGGTATAAGAGAAAAAAACACACCTCCCACCTCAAATTGTCCTTTCCCCACAAAATGTACTTGGCCGAACTTTATACAAACAAGTGATAAAAGAATTTCCTAAAAATAATGTGCTTCTGAGAAATGTTAATTTTGCCTCAGAGCACAGTCATGAAGGCGAAGTCCACACATTTCTGCCATCGTGAATCATTGTCGTACTAGCAGCTTCACAGCTTGCTTGTCGCCGTCATTGTTGCTACAGAGGTACATCCCATCATCACTTATTCTAATGTCTCGGATCCTCAGATTCCATTCACTGCTATAGCCCCTGTCGATGGACAAGCGACGGTCAGATGTAAGTGCCAAGCTTGAGAAGCGGTTCCAGGTATAGAGTGTAGTTGCTTTAAAACTCCACAATCTCTGTAAATTGGAACAATTGGATTTTTAGCAATTTAAAATAACAATCCATCTACATGTATTATGTGTCCATAGAGATAGAAATGTGTATATTATTTGTGGCACACCATGAACGAGGTAAATCTGAAAATTCTTGACCTGATAGATATTGTTTTGTGAAGTGTGAGGTTTCAACACCTGATTTCTGTCAACAAGAGAATTTGACAAGGTTGAGTGAAAATGCGAACAAGGAGAAAACTGAGAAACGAGCTGTGATTGAGTACAATGTACCTGCATATAACGGGCATGTCACCAAAGGAAATACAAAAAGAGATGAGTGAGTGAGTGAGTTGGGTTCTGCGCCGCTTTTAACAGTATTCCTGTTATATCACGGCGTGTCAGCTTAATGTGGGAGGAAAGCCCGAAATGATGCAGGTCTTAGACGTTTACCACTTCGGTGAAACCCACGAGCACGGGTATGGTGCTGACAAACCTAGAAACATAATGGGGGCGAACCGGGATTCGAACACACAATCGTAGGTATCTGGCGTGCCCAAGGGACGCAACTCTGCACAGCGAGTCGCGGTGCCTTAGACGACTTGGCCACCCGTGCCCCCCAAAAAGAGATGAAAAGCACGCTGGGGATGACTGTAAGGACAAGCACTGGTCGTCCTAAAGATGGAAACCCTGAAACGTAACTGGATGCCGTCCAGGCAAAGTTATGCTGACAAACGTGCTATAATTCAGCAATATCGTCGACACTATTGGAATCCGTTTAACCTTAACTGTCACACACAACGTCCGCTGTCCGCACGATGGGTATCCAAACTGTCGACGACAGATCAGAAGCTGACCATATCCAAGGACCAATTGTCACCAGAACCCTGATAAAGTTGTGATGAGAATTGTAACCCAGGATGTATATAGAAAGGGTTTTGTCGCTGTGATTTGCTCCAGAGACAAAACTTCAAGTGGAATCATTTGGCCTCCCCCTAAAAAACAAGACTCGGAAAAAACCGATAATCGGATACTAGCAAAACGTCGAAAGGAATTCGGGGTTACAAATATGAATGATTTGTACACATCTTAATCTCAGTGGACAGGTTCCCCCACCTTTCAATTATCACTGAATTTCGAAATACACGCATTTAGTTGTTGGTCCAGGAGGGTTTTCTGTGTAAAATCTGTTGCCAGTTAGCGTTGAAGTTTGTCGTCATGGAATGGAGAGGACCGCACTGTGTTTATCGACTGTAGAGTCTCCAGGTGGAATGTGGAATGTAGTATTCCAAAATGTCATAATACAAATCTTACGTTCTGCCGAAAAATTCACGCCAATGTTTCTCATTGTTTGCTTGGGAGGCGGTCAATAGCAACGTGACGTCATAACAAGCAGATATTCTCTAAGATTTGACATAAAAATATTGAAATAACTACAAGAATGGTCGTTGAAAACAGCACAGTGTTGGTCAACAGTTGATGGTGAGGCTCATGACACTCACACACTTAATACAATGTCTAGACCAGTGCAGGACATACAACGTCTAGCTCAGTGCAGGACATACAACGTCTAGCTCAGTGCAGGACATACAACGTCTAGCTCAGTGCAGGACATACAACGTCTTGCTCGGTGCAGGACATACAACGTCTTGCTCGGTGCAGGACATACAACGTCTAGCTCAGTGCAGGACATACAACGTCTTGCTCGGTGCAGGACATACAACGTCTTGCTCGGTGCAGGACATACAACGACTAGCTCAGTACAGGACATACAACGTCTAGCTCAGTGCCCGGCATACAACATCTAGCTCAGTACAGGACATACAACGTCTAGCTCAGTGCAGGACATACAACGTCTAGCTCAGTGCAGGACATACAACGTCTTGCTCGGTGCAGGACATACAACGTCTAGCTCAGTGCCCGGCATACAACATCTAGCTCAGTACAGGACATACAACGTCTAGCTCAGTGCAGCACATACAACGTCTAGCTCAGTGCCCGGCATACAACGTCTAGCTCAGTGCAGGACATACAACGTCTAGCTCGGTGCAGGACATACAACGTCTAGCTCAGTGCAGGACATACAACGACTAGCTCAGTACAGGACATACAACGTCTAGCTCAGTGCAGGACATACAACGTCTAGCTCGGTGCAGGACATACAATGTCTAGCTCAGTGCAGGACATACAACGACTAGCTCAGTGCAGGGCATACAACGTCTAGCTCAGTGCAGCACATACAACGTCTAGCTCAGTGCAGCACATACAACGTCTAGCTCAGTGCACGGCATACAACGTCTAGCTCAGTGCAGGACATACAACGTCTAGCTCGGTGCAGGGGATACAACGTCTTGCTCGGTGCAGGACATACAACGTCTAGCTCAGTGCAGGACATACAACGTCTTGCTCGGTGCAGGACATACAACGTCTAGCTCAGTGCAGCACATACAACGTCTAGCTCAGTGCAGGACATACAACGTCTTGCTCGGTGCAGGACATACAACGTCTAGCTCAGTACAGCACATACAACGTCTAGCTCAGTGCAGGACATACAACGGCTAGACCAGTGCAGGACATACGAAGTCTAGATCAGTGCAGGACATACGGTGTCTAGATCAGTACAGGACAAACAATGTCTAGACCAGTGGAGAAAATACAACGTCTAGACCAGTGAGCAAGCCTGACCACCCGATCCCGTTAATCACGGTGACCTCTTACGACAAGTATGGGCTGTTGAAGACGGGGCCATGTCAAAAGTACTCACATATGAATCCGTTTGGCTGGCAACAGAGCATGGCAGGATAGCGGTACTCCCCCTTTTCGCCATGACGACTTTAATGGAGGGTCCAGTATTTAGCCCTGAAACATAATAATTCCAGTGATACGCTCATTCAATATCGATTATGCAGTGTAATGCATCTCTCATCTGTAAAATGCTCTTGACACATTGGCTATTATTTGAATAACACGGCGCTTAGAATTATCGTCAAAGCAGATTAGGGGCGGTCGGGTAGCCTAGTGGTTAAAGCGTTCGCTCGTCACGCCGAAGACCCGGGTTCGATTCCCGACATGGGTACAATGTGTGAAGCCCATTTCTGGTGTCCCCCGTCGTGATATTGCTGGAATATTGCTAAAAGCGGCGTAAAACCATACTCACTCACTCACTCACTCACTCACTCAAAGCAGATTACGCTCATGGTGCGGCAGACACTCTGAAGGACGTCACTGATAAGAAAGATGAAGATGGCGACACCACCACAATGGGAGGAGATAGACACACGGACAATCGAGGATGAATCTGGTGCAGAAACTATATCAGAATCCTCATCCCTGCTCTCATCCATGTTTACTGAGTGTATCCAAATAGTGTTATGATAATTAAATGATGATATAATACCATGGAGTGAGTGAGTGAGTATGGGTTTACGCCGCTTTTAGCAATATTCCAGCAATATCACGGCGGGGGAACCAGAAATGGGCTTCACACATTGTACCCATGTCGGGATTCGAACCCGGGTCTTCGGCGTGACGAGCGAACGCTTTATCCACTAAGCTATCCGATTGCCCCATAATACCATGGATATTCGAGGGCGGTACATGTATTGCCTGACGTGGGATTTCTTTGTGAATAAGTCTTTGCGTGCCTAATCAACTGTTGTACCCATGCCGGCCCGATCATACATTAAGACCACAAAACGCTGTATGACTGTCATCATAGTCTTCATATCCTGTTCGGTTAGCAGAGTGACGAAGGTCAAGGACGATATTTTCATTACAGAATTGAAATATAATACTCATATAATTAGGAGATAAACATACTGTGTTTTCAATGTAGAGCTAGGTTACCTGTAGATTTAACCCCGCTAAATGGAATTTGGAACCGAACACGCAGCGTGAGGTTTCAAATGTTAAATTTAGCGCGGTTAAATCTACAGGTAACCTAGCTCTACATTGAAAACACAGTATGTTTATCTCCATTCTATCATGACTGAATAAAACGCGAACTCTTTGGTGTAAGCGATCTGAATTACGGAATCACCGAACAAAATATGGTGCTATATTTACTCAAGCAGTTTGTTTACACCGTAATACTTCACTCGAACATATGACAGGCATTGAAAGCATATAAGCACGGCAACTTGGTAAGCTAACATGAGGTGGGCATCCCTAAAGAAAACAAAGCAAGCTTTGCAAGGCTTTCGCTCCACATCGCGCGTCACCATTATGACGTCATATCGCTCATTGTGACGCAAAAGATATGACGTCACAGTGGTATAAAGAAAAGCGTCAAAATTCCAAGCTCTCTGTTGTCTCCAAAACGTAAATACATTCCCTTTGTTGATTTCTGTCGTGTTTTTCTGCACGAAATGTATTGCCACACATCCTTTGAATATTGTAGTAACCGCAACTGTGCATTTTGTAACCTGTAATTGCAGATATAATTATTTAAATATGCCAACCGACAATGACTGAAATTAGTACTATTCTATGAATATTAGCTTTCGCGGTGATGCGGCCGTCAAACCAGCTGTTTCAATCAGAGGGGGTTTAATGTGATTTTATAGCCTCTGATTGACCAATCAGAATCGAGTAAATTCCAAATACATGGTAGAATAATATGACATTATGTTTATGGTAAATACCATGAAACCATGACTAGCATAATTGTCACCAAAGGTCTGGACGAACCAGTATTCTATTATCTTCAGCTCATATAATCCAGATTCCCCCTGATTGTGATCATTGTGTGTCCGCACCATACCCATGCACCTGGCATTCCCCCGACACGCCGTAATATAACAGAAATACTGTAAGTTGAAGATGGATTAAAATCCAGCTGACTGAGAAACATTATCAGCGAACGGTTAAACAAAATCAAACCTTTAGTCGTCAGAGTACTGTATGACGTCACAGTTTCAGATCCCGGCTTGGTCGTGCTGCCTGACCTTGAGGTCATCTTCTCCATGTCCATTCTCAGTACCTCCAGCAACATCCTCTGTTCCGCCAGAGCCGAATGCAGTTCGTTTATCATCACTTTCTGCTTATCACCATCAGCTTTAAGCTCTTTGATAATCTTATCGTATCGTTTGAAACGCTTTCCGAACGTTTTCCGAGTAGGTTTGTTAGAATCCAACGTCCCTACTTTCGCAGGAACAGGTGGTTTAGTTTTGATGGAATTCAAAGCCAACGTCTTCAGTTGTTGTAGTTGTTGTTCAACGGACTGTACCTTTGTATGGACGGTCCCTTCTATTAGTCCTTGTATTGTTCCAGCTTTCGCCATTTCCTCAATCACCCTTGACATCACGTCGGGGACAACACCCTCAAGATGGAGGGTTAAGTCATTGCGGAATATCTGTAAATCCGTTTTCCGTTTTCGGTCGATTCGATCCATGCGGCTTCTGATATCAGTGATTTCCTCTTCTAGGAGTGACACTTTGGTTAAAATCGTTCTATCCCTGTGAACCGCGGAGGTTCCAAGCTGCGTTTCACAGCAGAGAACGCACAACGCCAACACAGCCTTCCAGCGAGTCGCCATACTTGCATGTGATGTTAAAGCATTGCTTGGGAGAAGTAAGACGTTTAGCTCACCTTGCATCCTAATTAGTATCCTATTTCCTTTAACAGGTCACTCCGGCGTGTATAAATGTTCGGACATAATTATAACCTGGCGTTTATTTGAAAACCGGGTCCACTACCACGAAGCGATCACTAATAATATTGTAACTTTCATATTTTAACAAGGATTTACCAAACTCCTTGCGCTACCATCACTTTGTAAAAGGGTTGTTTTCACCGGAAGTGTGGGGCCATTTATTAAAAGGTTTCTAAATGGGCACCATGTCTCTGTTCTTTCAATCTGGGTTCAGACCCGGCTTCTGTTAGAGAAAATATAGTAGTAGATTAACATATAAAATGCAGCAAAGAGGGTTTCGGTGATCCTGACACAGTCAGGCTGGTTATAGGCTCATCATCAGCTCAGCTCAGGGCCCTTGCCCCCTCTACACGCAGCCCAGACAGCGAATGGGGCGAACCCACCGAGAACAATGGGTAGTCGGACAACTTGGTACTTGGGATGCAAGCGTGATATTTCGAAATCGAGGTTCGCATATTTACCATATATATTTGTCAATAACATCAGTGTCAAAGGCGACAGAAAATTCAATGATATGAATGATTTCATTGGATTAATGAAAAAGGACAAGATCAGGTTTGTTGGCCTGGATACGTCTGAGGATGTAAACGGGCCTATTCCAAAGAATTTTGTATTTGTCATTTTTTCCATGACGCCCTTTACATATTCCGGGTCGTACCATGGGTGGACCTCTGTGTCAAAACCACAAGCATGGCGAAGAATGATCGAGCTACACCATCATGTCGTTAAGATACTGTGTTTATGCCAAAGCTAGGCATCCACTGACAATGTGTTGGACAGTCTCATTAAATTCATTACATAATCTACATTTCATATTAGAATTTGATTCCACTTGATACGCTGGGATAGCAGACAATCTGACACTAACGTGTTTACATTTATATTTAATTAGGCGATTTTGTGTATACTATGTGTATGGTGAGCTAAAAGTGATATTTCTAGCAAGGAAGTAGGTTTATCACAAGCTGCGTCGAACATGAGTAGATATGTATGACTTTACGAGCTGGGTCGCGATAGAACAATCAGTTTCCTCAATTATCATGCAAACCGGATGAACAACATTGACTATTAATGACCACTCGTGTTATCGGAAGGGACAAGGTGGTTCGGGGGGTCGTAACGACTCAAGCACAAGGCTAAAGAATAGCCAGTTACTTTGATAAAAGACAAAATTCTACTAGAGCTTCAAATTCATATACAAAAATAAGTCATCATAGCAAAAAGGAACTCTTTTATTTCCGACCCCGGCAATCGTGATTAATACAAATAATATTAAAGAAATAAGCGTGAATAATTCAGTTTCTATAATAGTACGTTCAAGTTCACCTCCAGTGATTTACCGCTCTTTGGCGCGTCACGATATTTCTTTGTCCCTCATTCTTGCTCATGATTAAACATGCGTGTCAACAGTGTTTCAATGCCCCTAAAACTTTAGCAGCCAGTATTGGACATATTGCATTGTGAACAAAGTATCAGGGTACGAAACGCATTTTATCGTCAACATAATATCAATACACGTAACGTATTTCATCGTAAACTTTGTATCAGGATACGTAACGTATTTTATCGTCAACATAGTATCAGGATACGTAACGTATTTTATCGTCAACATAGTATCAGGATACGTAACGTATTTCATCGTAAACATTGTATCAGGATACGTAACGTATTTTATCGTCAACATAGTATCAGGATACGTAACGTATTTCATCGTGAACATTGTATCAGGATACGTAATGTAACGGATTTCATCGTAAACATTGTATCAGGATGCGTAACGTATTTTATCGTCAACATAGTATCAGGATGCGTAACGTATTTCATCGTCAACATAGTATCAGGATACGTAATGTAACGGATTTCATCGTAAACATTGTATCAGGATACGTAACGTATTTTATCGTCAACATAGTATCAGGATACGTAATGTAACGGATTTCATCGTAAACATAGTATCAGGATGCGTAACGTATTTCATCGTAAACATAGTATCAGGATACGTAACGTATTTTATCGTCAACATAGTATCAGGATACGTAACGTATTTTATCGTCAACATAGTATCAGGATACGTAATGTAACGGATTTCATCGTAAACATTGTATCAGGATGCGTAACGTATTTTATCGTCAACATAGTATCAGGTTACGTAATGTAACGTATTTTATCGTCAACATAGTATCAATACACGTAACGTATTTCATCGTAAACAAAGTATCGGGATACGTAACGTATTTCATCGTAAACAAAGTATCGGGATACGTAACGTATTTTATCGTCAACATTGTATCAGGATACGTAACGTATTTCATCGTAAACATAGTATCAGGATACGTAACGTATTTCATCGTCAACATAGTATCAGGATACGTAATGTAACGGATTTCATCGTAAACATTGTATCAGGATACGTAACGTATTTTATCGTCAACATAGTATCAGGATACGTAATGTAACGGATTTCATCGTAAACATAGTATCAGGATGCGTAACGTATTTCATCGTAAACATAGTATCAGGATACGTAACGTATTTTATCGTCAACATAGTATCAGGATACGTAACGTATTTTATCGTCAACATAGTATCAGGATACGTAATGTAACGGATTTCATCGTAAACATTGTATCAGGATGCGTAACGTATTTTATCGTCAACATAGTATCAGGTTACGTAATGTAACGTATTTTATCGTCAACATAGTATCAATACACGTAACGTATTTCATCGTAAACAAAGTATCGGGATACGTAACGTATTTCATCGTAAACAAAGTATCGGGATACGTAACGTATTTTATCGTCAACATTGTATCAGGATACGTAACGTATTTCATCGTAAACATAGTATCAGGATACGTAACGTATTTTATCGTCAACATAGTATCAGGATGCGTAACGTATTTTATCGTCAACATAGTATCAGGATACGTAACGTATTTCATCGTAAACATAGTATCAGGATACGTAACGTATTTTATCGCCAACATTGTATCAGGATACGTAACGTATTTCATCGTAAACATAGTATCAGGATACGTAACGTATTTTATCGTCAACATAGTATCAGGATACGTAATGTAACGGATTTCATCGTAAACATTGTATCAGGATGCGTAACGTATTTTATCGTCAACATAGTATCAGGTTACGTAATGTAACGTATTTTATCGTCAACATAGTATCAATACACGTAACGTATTTCATCGTAAACAAAGTATCGGGATACTTAACGTAAACATAGTATCAGGATACGTAACGTATTTTATCGTCAACATAGCATCAGGATACATAACGTAAACAGTCCTCCACACCAGGAATGACGTCATTATCATTTGCTAAATGCTTCCAAGAACGCTCTTTCTCCCAGTGGAAATTTGACGGTAACAAACCTTGTGAATGCGGAGAATGTTTAATGATTGATGCATCTGTAGCAGTCATGCGACAAGAGACGTGGTGTGGGTGCATTGTCCTTATTCAGTGAGTTTTCCATGACGTTTAGTCTTGATATTCTCGGGGGCACGGGTGGCCCAGTCGTCTAAGGCGCCGCGATTCGCTGTGCAGAGTTGCGTCCCTTGGGCACGCCAGAAACCTATGATTGTGGGTTCGAATCCCGGTTCGCCCCGATTATGTTTCTAGGTTTGTCAGCACCTTACCCGTGCTCGTGGGTTTCACCGAAGTGGTAAACGTCTGAGACCTGCATCACTTCGGGCTTTCCTCCCACATTAAGCTGACACGCCGTGATATAACTGGAATACTGTTAAAAGCGGCGTTAAACCCAACTCACGCACTCACTCACTTGATGTTCTCAAGCAGTTGCCTTTGTAGATTAATACAACAACATAATTGGCCTTTAATGGTCTGATCTTTCGGGAGGCAATCCACTAGTAGCTGGCTTCAGCTTTTAGGGGATGAAACAAAATTTGGACAGTAAATTCAGGAATTAGTTATACATGCGACATGATGTGCTGTATGTAGTCCGGGTTAGTCCGGACCAAACTGGAGGGGAAAAGAAAGTATATACCCATGTTTGATGGTTGCCAAAACAATAAACAAACAAGAAAGTGAGTGAGTATGGTTTTACGCTGCTTTTAGCAATATTCAAGCAATATCACGGCGGGAGACACCATAAATGGGCTTAAGATATTGTACCCATGTCGGGAATCGAACCCGGGTCTTCGGCGTGACGAGCGAACGCTTTAACCACTTGGCTACCCAAAACCGAAAATAGAAAGTGTAACCCTTTTGTTGAAGAACGTCGGAGCGGATCCTGTCGATTTGGCCGTTGAGGTTGCCACGTATGATCACAAGTTCCGTCCGTTGGTTGCCACAAATGCCTCCACAAACCATTACCCCACCACCACCATGGATGCGCTTCATGACTGCAGCCTTTGCGCCAATGGTCCCCCCTACGACAATTAACCCCAGCATGACAATCATTATGGAAAAGCAGATTCTTCCTTCGTCAAAAACATGCACTCTCTGCCAGTCACGGATCTGACAGCGTTGTGCTGCCATTGCCTAGAGCCGTGTTCAACGTTGATGCTCATGGGTCAAGGCCACTCGACGGAAGCGGCGATTGGCTCTGTCAAGATCACAATGACATTTTAATTTGGTTTGACTGTATGTATGGGTTGTGTGCTTGAGGTCTGACAAATGTTGTTGAACTGTAAGTGATTATGAGAGTAAAGTTATGTAAGCTGGTTGAAGTGAGTGGACAGGCTTTTGGATAGTGGATTTACTTGATTTGTGCATGTAACCATCATGCAAAACGCTGACCAGGTTGGACTGTGTGTCGTGGTTTGACCCTGGGGTTTGAGTGATGTTCCTAGCTTTTGGGGCGTGAGTGTTATACTCTTATTGATCATATTGGTTGTACGCATTATGTCAT